CTATTTGAGCAAACAAGTTAAATATCAAAACAACAAACATTCTGCCATGGTCAGCTGATCACATGTGACAGCAATACACAGCACAATAATGCATAACATCCATAGCAACGTGTGATACTGAAAAGAGACAGGTCAGTGGGTTTGACATTCACACTTGGTTGCCTTGGTAACTTGCATGTCATCTCATCCTGGGAGCATGAATTGTTGGTCATATCAATCCACTGATTTTCTTGGCCACATTCAATTATTTACAGACTGCTGTCATGTTTGCTTGTTTGTTATTGTTTAACAATATTCCAGCTATACGGGGGTCGGTGGGGTAGCCTAGTGGTTAAAGCATTGGCTCATCACGCCAAAGACTCGGGTTCGAATCCCCACATGGGTACAATGTGTGAAGCCCATTTCTGGTGTCCCCTGCCATGATGTTGCTGGAATATTGCTAAAAGCGGCGTAAAACCAAACTCAGTCAGTCAGTCAGTCCAGCTATACGGTGGCGGTTTGTAAATATCCAAGTCTGGACCAGACAATCCAGTGATCAACAGCATGAGCATTGATCTATGCAACTGGGATACAATGATATGTGTCAACCCAGTCAGCGAGCCTGACCACCTGATCCCATTAGTCGCCTCTTACGACAAGCATGGCTTCTGCTGAATGCCAATTCTGACCCAGATCTTCACGGGTCCTGCTGTCACGTAGCTGGAATACTGCTGAGTGCGACCTTTACCAACAAACTGCCAAGTCCTACATACATGGATGAATCGGCTCCCTTGTCCAACAGGTAGGTGAGACAGATCAAGGACCGCTTCCCTGTCTGGTTGCTGATGGCCAGATGGACTGCACGCCATCCTGTTGTACTCGGCAGGTTCAGGTCAAACTTGAACTTGTCAATGCAGAGCTTCAGACAATCAAGGCGACCATGAATTGCAGCAAGATGGAAAGCAGTGAGACCCTGTAACACAACATTACATATAACTGGTGATCCGGGCATTATCATCCATGTCATGGGGATGTATAGTAGGGGTGGGTATTGCAGAGAATTTTCATAATGCGATATATTGTGATCTGAAAGCATGTATTGCAATATGTATTGCAATATATTGCATGAAGTATTTTTAAACAAAAAACTACTTTTAATGGAGACCCGTGAAGATCCGGGGTAGAATAGGTCTTCAGCAACCCATGTGCTTGCCATAAAAAGGCGACTATCTTGTCGTAAGAGGTGACTAACGGGATCGGGTGGTCAGTTTCGCTGACTTGGTTGACACATCATCGGTTCCCAATTGCGCAGATCGATGCTCATGCTGTTGATCACTGGATTGTCTGGTCCAGACTCGATTATTTACAGACCGCCGCCATATAGCTGGAACATTGCTGAGTGCGGCGTAAAACTAAACTCACTCACTCACTCACTCACTCACTCACTCACTTATAATCGAGGTAATGCTTGATTTATAGAGCAAATACACAGCAAAATCACATGCTTGATTAAGCTTTAATAACATTTATTCATGATTAAACATAAAAATGTGAATAATATTTGGCACAAATGAAAAAAGGAAATATCCGAAGATTTTCGAGTGTTACGAAGTTTTCCGAATGCAAGTCAAAATACCGGTTTTCGATCAGTGTATCGCAATACGTATCGTTTTCATGTCTGACCCGGTAAATACCGGTAAACCGGTTATATTGCGCAGCCCTAACGTATAGTTCATAACCAATGAACCAAGTTATTTAGATTCAACAACCTTAAAGTGACAATGTTTTCCCAATACCATTAAAAAAAAGGCATTGTTTTCTATAGCTTATGTTAAAGGAATAAATCTAAAATTTGTAAGAAATATTTTCCATTTGTACAGGCAATAAACTGAAAGACAACACTGAAATGTGCTTGATATTTCCTTGTCAAACTCAAAGATGGTGTTAAAGAACATATACACCAAACCAGTTAGTGCAATGTCATTGACTGACTGAGTTTGGTTTTACGCCGCTTTTAGCAATATTAAGGGCCACTGATCCAGAGCGATTAATTTTTCTCGCCAACAGTCTTATTACGAAACCAAGCTGCAGGCTGGTCGGTACCTGCTCACTCGACCATGACGGGCGCGGGGACTGGGCTACTGTCCACCTTGGCAGAATTTCTTCAACCTAAACAGTGGGACATTAGGAAGGGTGGATGCCCGTTATTTGCAAAATATCCCCGGTAGTTCTTGTCTGACTGTAATAAAGAATCCCAGCAGTGTAAACATTTTCAGATTTTCTAATGCCTGGATGGTATAATGACTGATCCAATTTGATCCTAATTCTGTGATTTTTACCTCGATATTCAATCATGTCATGTAAATATGTGATGTTTATTACCTATGCGATGATATTAAAAACACACATTTGATGTATTTGAAACCGTAAACTAAACAACCCACTAAAATTGCCATTGCTAGAAAAATCTGAAAATTTACTTAGGTAAATAGGTATATACAGCAAATGCGTATATGTATTTCTTACGCAACAATGCAGTTCCGTTTGTATCCTCAAAACAGTGTCAGCCTATAAGTTTTTGTCAGGCAATAAAATCGCATGCAATACAGCATTTACTACTCCCTTTCTGTAACCCGTGTTTGGTGGTAAACCTACACGTTATTTGTCATCATTCACTTGATGGTCACTCAGATTACCCTTCAAAGGTTCCCATTTGGCATTTCCCGTGTCTGGAGTAAATACTTAACATTACAAATTAAGGTCTGATGTGACAAATGTATTTCATCTTATGTAATATGCACATGGAAGTGCAGCAAGAGGAGTTGTCAGCTGAGTTACAAAAACAAACATTGATCAAAGGATTAACCGATAACACGCTGATTGATTAATTGCTTTCATCTTGCACAGTGGATTTGTCAAAAGGTAGTGTTTATGTATGTAGATTTACTAATCTATACTGAATACACCCTGTCGCAAAGTGCCTGTGTAAAAACAATGTCCTCCCTTCAAAGGATTAACCGCCAATACATTGATTGATTGCTCATTATTGGCTAACTGAATTACGTTGTTAAAGAATGGCGGACATCATGCAATTAGTTGCCAGGTGTGCTATCTTGGGTGACCAATCAGACTCTACACCAATGTGAAAAACCCAAAACGATATATCACTTTTTCGCATATTAGACTGTTACAAGACACATGACATGGAGCAGGATTCTTTGTCAGCTGAAGGTGAATGGCATGTCGTTCCTTTATGTGGATATTGATGGATACATTCCTCGAACAAGGTAGGATAGCCTGACATTGTTGCTGTAACTTTAGTCTGTTTTAATTTTAATATTTGCATTTTGTTTTTATTCATTTGTTGTAGCATTATACAGAATCATTTTTTTCGCCGTGAAGTGTAATGAGACAGACAACATACACTAGGTCGCACTTTGGGGCGTGTGTGTGAAATAATACATAATCAACGTTGGCAATCTATAAAATGTCTAGATATTACAGTCATGTTATAAATTCACAATAAGTATAAGCAGATCGTGTGCATTTTATTAGGTTTCAAAATGCATACAAATATGATAATAAACTAATTAGGATTATAAGACAAAATATAAAGACGTACATTGACTTCGTTATTTTTCAGTCCTAACATTTTTCACCACTGGCAGATGGTTAAACTTCAAAATGTTTTCATTTGTTATCAAATTAATGAAGATGGAAATATTATCGAGTAAAAATATTTCCTCTTTGTTGATCAATCTATACTTATACTATCAATTGCGCATGCGGGTAGCGCATTAGAGGTCAGGAACCAGTCAAGAATTATGGGATATCATCCGGGTACTCAGGGGAGAAAAACAATAACAAAAGCAACAACCAGTCCACGGAAATTGCTCTGGATCAGTGGCCCTTTAAAACATTGATAGGCTATAGCTCTAACAAGCTATTTTGTATTGAATTGTGTGTTTAAAATCTGCAAATAGAAATGACTATGAAAAGTGTTTCATTAAGGGTCATGATGACCTCATAAAAAAATGTGGACAATGAAATCTTATCAATAATAATTTTGCCATCATGAATGTGACATATTTGGGGGTATTTTGATTTATATTGATGACAATCAAGATAAACTGGGTTTTGTTATTTGGGTTTTTTAAAAATATTATGTTCAAAAAGCTATGAGCCAAGAAGCAATGCTCTATATCTATGTGTATTTACAGATCAGTTTGCGTAACTAATTGAGAAATATTTCGCCTATTCAGCCATACAACTGAAAACATAAAATATATATATGCATTTATCCCAAAACCAAACATTACATGTTGATCAGATGACGAAATTATGCCCTAACTGTAGACACCCTTGCTGTAACCTAGCAACGATGTCAACTTCCTATCATGGCGTCTGTACATAGCATCCTGAAACTTTCCAAAGAAAATCTTACATTCTTGTCGTAATTTTTTTGTCCACCAATCTCTCTGAGACTTTGCTTTAACCATTCCACATCTCCAATCGCTGCGGCCATGTATTCATCGTCGGCGATCCTTTTTCACTGGCTATGCGTGTGCGTCTTCTCCGGAGAACGGGTGCTCCTTTGGCCGATCCAGATCCCACAGTTTGAGACCCACCAGTGATCGTTTTCGACGTTCCTCCGCCCTCAGAACTCGGCATTTTGTCATCAAGTACGGCACCTTTCTACATTATTTAATCCTGGCTAATGACACTAAAAATAAAACAAAAATACTCCTCAGATATTCCTCGCACTTTCGTTACCCTATCAGTGACACCTCACAATGAAGCGGTCGTAAATCGCGCACCTGTCATATGACTTCCGGTTGTCGTAAAGATATTAAATAGAGATATTCTCTTGAGGAAACATATTCATACATATTTGGCCATCATTTGTCATCTAAATGGTGTCAAAAATTCACAGACTAAAGAAAAACAACAAATTACAAACTAAATAGCATAAATATCTAATGTCGCAATGCGATATTCGTTCCCATAATTCCATTTCCCTAACAACATACCAATATGGACGCCTAAACCATCACATTGAGAACGTTACCATTTATTTCCACGAGATTTTGCTCATCATCATCCGTGCATTAGTTAATGATTCCGTATTTATCCTAACAAAGTTCACTAGGAATCAATTCATAGATGCTGTTCCATCGTATGTGCCTTAGTTAAAGTTATTTAGAGCATATCTATTTTCTAGCAGACGACGCATCTTGATTGATACTTGTTGGATACCTTCAAGGGAACGTAGCCTCATCAAAGTGACAACATGGCTTCAGCAGTTGGGCCTAAATCGAGCGCAAAAGATGCTCGAGAACTGTACGAAATGAAAGAAAGGGCAATCAAATTTTACACAGATAATGGAGTACCAAAGAAGATGGAGGAGATCCTCAACTCAATGTTTCATGACAACCCAGCAGATGTGTATGGCCATGTTGTAAGTTAGTTTGAAAATGTTTCTGACAGGTTTTAGATTTGTTTCACCAACTTTCATATGCTGCATAACAATGGGTTATTTCCAACTGACACTGAAAACTATCATACTGAATAACCTTTTAACCCAGCTATAGTTAACTCTGATTAAGCACTCATATCCCTGATTTGTGTTCTACCTTACATTTGATCCATGTTTATCACTGAAACTAATGTTTTCTTCTACATGATATGTTCACTCCATAATTCACATCTAAAAACTGGATTCCTTATCCTGCCAGGGTTGGTGGGGTAGCATAGTGATAAAGGCATTTGTTTGTCACGCTGAAGAACCGGGTTCAATTCTCCACATAGGCATAATGTGTGAAGCTCATTTCTGGTGTCCCCTGCCATGATATTGCTGGAATATTGCCAAAAGCGGCGTAAAATTAAATTCACTCACACACTAACTTTATCCTGCCTCCATGTTTGTGACATTTTGGGTCAGTCATTTATTTAAATAGTGTTTCAGTTTATTTCCTGGTGTGTTACAGTTTTTATTTAAAATGCAATAAATTGATGCTGCTGCATCTGGTTAACATTGTGTGCTTCTTTCTTACAGGCAAACTATTTTGCTGAATTTGCAAAATGCCCAGTAATCACAAAGGTAAACTTATAATTACATTGTTTATGAACATGCTAAATGAGGTGAATGAGTGCATGCTATTTGATGCCAAAGTGTGCAATATATAAGTATATTTTAATGTAATTTGTACCAGGCATATCAGAGACTAAAACAGTCCGTGCTTTGGTACTACAGTAACAAGCAATGAATATTTCTATTACAACTGCTAATGGTAATATACATATCTAATACAGACTGTACAGCAAAATCATTTAAGATGTTGCCATTAATGATTTATAAAAAGTAACATATGCTATGAATTTCAAGGTGACTGTGACATTGGCCACTATTAGAAAGTCCAGATCTTGTAACATTTATCATAGTGTAGCCAGTTCACAAAATCAACAGTAATTATTGTAGAAAGACTGATTGTGGATATAGGTTTTATCTGAGTGTTTCCCTATACATAGTAAATAAATGAAACACTGAAATTCATTATACAGGTTCAAGCACGACAAGGGTATGACAGCAAAGGACAGTCAACTGTGCAAACAGAAGTTTACTGCATGATGAAGAACCATGAAAAAGTAAGATATGCTTTTGAATCTGTGTTTTGTTTGGTTATTTTATTTTCTTCTAGTGGTTGCTATTAACTGGAATGTAAAGCACAGTTTAAATGTGACTACAGTGACTATATAGACAAATGGAATTAGGACTCCGACATTTCCATGATTTAATTGATTTGTAATATGACATTCCTTAATATCACTTCAAACTTTGAAAAAGAATTTTTAGTTCACTTGGGATTACAATCAGTCATTGTCCTAGAAAATAACCCCAATATGAGACCCTGCACCTAATTTGTTTCCTATACTCTAACAAAAAAACAAACGAAATACTCTTAAAAGATTTAAACATCTAGAATTTGGAAGTGTAGTTAATTCTCACCTATAACCCTGCCTTTCATATAGCTCATCAGTACCTGTGTTGCCCCAAGTGTGACATCACTCCTGCTGGACACTGCAAAGCCAGAGGAGAAAGACACAGAGGATTCAGAAAGACAGGCATCTGTAACAGCAGCCATCAACTACATCAACACTGACATCTGTAACAAGCTGGAGGGACTGGACCCAACACAGCAGACTGAGGCAGATGATGCTGTATAGTCAGTAGCTTTTTTATCTCAGTTACTTGTTAATTTAATTTAATTTCAGTCTTGAGATTATTAGACATATTTTAGAGAGAACATTCATTAATTTTTCATTTTGTTTTTTCATGGAGTCACTTAGGGTTGTCATCCAAAATATGACAAGCTTAGGCCAGACCAATTATATTTCTTGTTTAACAGATCCGCCAGTCGTATTTTTTCAAGAATAAGAAAAAAATAAAAATTAATTTTCCCCGCTCTAAAATAAAATTCTCATGTTTTTATTGGATAAAAATGTAAAGTTACAAAAAAAATTGTTTTTGGTTGTTTTTTGCCCCATATAAACTTCATAAATTGCCGAAAATTAACTACTTTTAGTATTTAAAAGGAAAATTACTTTGACTAGTGATTTTTAGGTTTTTTTAGTTTTTTCCCTCCTGCCTTTAGGTTTTCTGAGGACAAAAATCCGTAAAACAAGAAATAAAATTGGTCTGGCCTTAAGAGGACTCTCTTCATTTTAAACCTGTGGTAATTTAGACTTGGTTACTATAATAATTTATAGACTTGCATGTGGGGTATTGGATATATTTGTTACAGGGTCTATTTGACAGACTACATTAATTGAGACCTGTGGAGATCAGGTTAGAATTGGTCTTCAGTAACTCATGCTTGCCATAAGTGGCGACTAAGGCCCGGATCGGTTGGTCAGGCTCACTGACTTGGTTGACACATGTCATCATAACCAATTACGTTGATTGATGCTCATGCTGTTGATCACTGGATTGTCTGTTCCAGACTCAGTTATTTTCAGACCACCGCGATATAGCTGGAATATTGCTGAGTGTGGCATTAAAAAAAAAAAACCCAAAAAACATTACTAGTACAATACATTTTGATGACCATGTACAACAATGTGTAACTCAACATGTTTCAGCAACTTCATCCAGCAGATGAAGGATGAAGTGGATGCCCAGAAGGCAGCAGAAGCAGCAGCAGCAGCAGAAAATACAGAGGAGGCACCCACACAGGATTTCAATGAGTCTAACAATACTAAGAAGGCCAAATCTCCTACTGGAAAGTAAGTTTAAACAGCCAAACATTCGTTCAAGAATTACAGAGAAGGATTGTATGTGTCTTTGAATTCCACCTGAGGATGGGATGATAATACTTGTAATTTGGGACTATTGTAAGAATGACCCCTTATGAAATGTTGCGTTGGTTAATTGGGACAGATGTGATAATTGCAAGGGTAAAGTGTACCGGTAATAGTCTTAACAGGAGGGATTATTAGTCTTGATGTGTGTACTAAGAATCAAGGTAGCCTTTTACAGCTTACATAAATTGCTGGATACAGTAGTACACAATTAAATCAATGTTATTCTTACTAGAGCTGTGACGATATATCGTAGTATTGATAATCGTGATACCGCTAACAATAACTATATCGATACTTTTTTTCGTATCGTGATATGTATCGTTGACCTAAAAATTGTGAATTTTCACTAGATATTAACGGTTATGTCAAAATTTACACTGTTACTTGTTATCAAAATACGCTTTCTTAAAGAAAATAACTAAAGATAGCATATCGTGATACGCATGATGCGGCATCGTATCGAATCGTATCGTTCCAAGATATCGCGATACGTATCGTATCGTGTAATTTCTGTATCGTCACACCTCTAATTCTTACTACTATGTATCACTGAACAGTACTGTTAATCAGTAGAAAACATTAAACATTAAATAAACAAATATCATCAATGCAACTTTTATAAATGTTAAAAGAACTTTTACATTTTTAGTGAATTTAGAGTACTAGTGTCATCTTCAACTGTAGACAAAGTGTAGTACTTTATCTTTTAGTCTAGATAGCAAGAAAAGCTTTGCTGATGATAGTTAACAGTATAGACTAGACTGTCTATGGCAAAATAATTATGTAAAATTAAGAAGTGGTAGTATAACTTGTGCCAGAATACAACTTCGGGATAATATAACAAATTCGGGACAGTATAAACAAACAGGATGGCAAATGATAATTTTTGTCAGATTTATAATACATTTTCATACTTATTGTGAACAATAGCATCTATAAAGAACTGGTGACCTTCCATTGTTTTGAATACGTTATCTATGTGTTTCAAGATTCTGTGTTGTTATAACATATATTATATTTGGGATTACACTTTCTTAGTAAAGTACAGATTTTAGTACTTTTGTTGGATTGAGTCCCATCCGGGATTCGGACCCACACCCTCAGAGTCAGGCACCTAATCGCCATTACACAATGCCATTTAGAAAGTGGTCAAAGGTAACATTATGTTATATTTAGTATTACACTTTCTTAGTAAAGTACAGATTCTAGTACTTTTGCAGGGGTGGAAATAACCCATTGCCCGACGCCCGAGTCCAGTGTTTTTTTCTATCGGGCAAGCAAATTTGTATATCACACTGTACCGGTGTCCAGTTGACTTTCCAATATTAATTATGTTGTTTATTTAAAAAATCAACAAGAAAACGGCTGGTATAGTGGAAAATGATCAGGTCAAGTGATTTTACATATGCCACTGTACTGGAGTACACTAGCAATTTTAAAATTATTTCCACCCCTGTTTTGTTGGGCTTAGTCCCATCCGGGATTCGAACCAGACACTCTCAGAGTCAGGCAAGGGTCAAGTTAGGGGGTCGTCTTATCTATGAGATCATCTTATCTACAGTAATATACGATATGTTACATTTGACCACTTTCTAAATGGGTTTGTGTAATCATGTGTTGTTATAGTTTGCAATATTCTACAAGGTATTTTGCTAGGCATGTTTTACAAATAATTATCATTGTTTTAGTGAGGACCCGAAGTAAGTGGTCTTGTTGCTGTGACAACTGTCAATGCACTTTAATTCTTGTGTCATTTTATATATCACCTCATCTTAGTCATGTTGTATTAACCTTGCTTGTGTAGTGTGCTTGGATTTGAAAATCTGAATTAACAGTCTTTACATTGATCCAATCTCTGTACGTCAGACATGATCCACACTGTACATTTGACATGATGCACTCTCCATACATCTGACATGATCCAATCTTTGTACATCTAACATGACCCAATTTCTACATTTGACACAATCCACTCTGTACATTTGAAATGATGCACTCTCCTTACATCTGACATGATCCAATCTCTGTACATCTAACATGATCCAATTTCTACATTTGACATAATCCCCTCTGTACATTTGACATGATGCACTCTCCATACATTTGGCATGATCCAATCTCTGTACATCTAACATGACCCATTCTACATTTGACATAACATTTGACATGATGCATCCATACATTTGGCATACATTCTGTACATCTAACATGATCCAATTTCTACATTTGACATAATCCCCTCTGTACATATGACATGATGCACTCTCCATACATCTGGCATGATCCAATATCTGTACATCTAACATGATCCAATTTCTACATTTGACATAATCTCCACTGTACATTTGACAATGCACTTCATACATTTGGCATGATTGACATATGATCCAATTTCTACATTTGACATATCCCTCTGTACATATGACATGATGCACTCTCCTTACATCTGACATGATCCAATATCTGTACATCTAACATGATCCAATTTCTATATTTGACATAATCCCCTCTGTACATTTGACATGATGCACTCTCCATACATTTGGCATTTCCGATGTAACAATCGTAGATTGTGTGTAGTGTTAAATTTGAATGTTGACTTACTTCTGAAGCACCATGAAAATGAAAGGCTGAAAGGGCATATGAAAACTCTGAATGCACAGTAGATGACATGACCATTCTTTTCAGTATTGTGTAGAACTAGATGGAAGCATGTGTTATAACTTCATTAACAAGTCACATAATTTAATGCACAGTGAGACTGAAAGGAAGCCAGTGATGTATGGGGATGAAGTGGATAATGATATTTAAGATTCAGCACTGTGATGGGTTCAACATTGCCAATGTACTAAGATGGGATGGAATGTGTTTTATGGCTGGACGTGAATAGTTGGATGTATTGGTGCAAATGTTTATTGGTATTATCATTTAAGAAAGAAAATAAATATTGATGATTAAGGTCCACTGATGAATACGGATGGTGAGGTTTCCAGATGGATATGGAGGATGAGGTTGACAACAAGTTGTATTTTTAATGGTGAATACTTGTAGAGTTCACTGATTAATGTTTTACATGATTTGCATGCTGGTACATATCTAGTAAATGTTTTACTGTAATCTATATGTTTTTAATGGTAAAATTTCATTGAAACTAAAGTTTTTACTGTCATTTTCAAATATCAATCTTGTTTGAAGTTGAAGGAACATCCACATATAACATATAAAGGTATGGTTGCTTTTTTTTCAGGGTCGAAGTGTATGATATGTGAAACTTTCCTGAAATTGTGTATGTCAGTATTAATTTGTTCGTAGAAATATGTATCATATTCACCATTATAAGCAATTTGGGCTATTAGACAACTAAAACAGACATGAAGGGGCACTTATTGAAACAAACAAGTTAATATATTTTCAACAGTATATGGTACAAAGACTTTGGGCAACAGTTTCTTGGTGATTATCTACCTGTCTAATTTTCTGAATCTGTAACAAAAATCTGTAACATAGACTAGAAAATACAGATCGAAATAAAGAAGATTACTTACAGACTGGTTTACAAGTTGGTTGATAGAGTTTATTGGAGCAGGGAAATTCATATGGCAAATATGGTATATGTGAAATACCCCTAAATGGAATGATTGTTTGATGTTATGTTATTTGGTGAAGAATTTACCACTTGAGAGGATGATGACTTGAGAGTGAAGTACACATGACGTATTCCAATAAATCTACATCACTCTTACATCGCTCACATAAGTATTATTCATATTTCTTCAGAGGCAAAGGCAAAGCCAGTCAGATAATTATCATCCCTGATGAAGCACGGGAACAGTTTGTGGAAGGCAGCTGTCTTGTGAGCGCTGTCAGTCAGGCAGTATGTACAACTGGAGCTTCCATCAAGGACGTCCCTCTCTACCGCTATATTGCCGATCTCAAACACAAAGAAGTAAGCACAGATATTGTTTACAGATTATGTTTGTTTGTTGTTCAAGGTGTTGAATGCTGCTCTCAAAATTTTTCCTGATAAAAGCAGGAAATGATCAAGTGCGGACCAGTGAGTGATATTGTGAGCAATGACCCTTGCTGTCATGGTACAATGACATGCAAGCATCCAAGTCACTGAGACTGACTACCAGGGGTGGAAATAACCCATTGCCCATCGCCCGAGTCCAGTGTTTTTTTCTGCCGGGCAAGCAAATTTGATCACACTGTACCTGTGTCCAGTTGACTTTCAATATTTATTAGGTTTATTTTTATTAAAAACAAGAAATTGCTGCGGTATAGTGGCATAAAATTATCAGGGCAAGTGATTTTACTCACTGTGACATTACACTAGCAATTTTAAAGTTCTTTCCACCCCTGACTACCCAACCCATCTGATCACCTCTTACGACTTGTGTAGGTTACTGGTTACCAATGTTATCCAAGAATCCTCACTGGAGAGATTACCATTATGTTTTGAATAACAAATTAATTATGTGCATGCAGGTTATCACTATATATGATCATGACAGGTAGATACTGACAACTTTCTGTTCTGTATCAAAAGTGATGTTCAGATAGGAACCAGTCAAGTTAACCATACATTCAGGCTCAAATATCAGCTGATATCATTAGATGCATGTGTCACTACATGTACACTAGTGGTGTTCCGATTAATTGAAATAATAGAATGGTCGCAGTGACCGAACGACCAAGCAATCGATCACATTTTCTCATAATCGAACACAAACGATTTTGGAACTGCTGTTTTAGTCTTTGAAACACTTTTGACGATGGAACATATCTTCGAAGTTGTCGGGGCCTGCAAACTTGTTTAATTCTGAGAAAACTCACTTCACTAACTGAAAAGTCATGACTGAATATTTCTTGAAGACGCAAGGAAGTTTATGTTGATGATATATTACTCATCACTTTAAAGTATCAAGTTGCATCATCTTATACCTACCTGCAATAACAACCTGGATAGGAAAATCTGAAAAATGATGCTAACCAATTTTTTTCGATGATTGTTCGTTGGTAATGAAGCAATCATCAATTGTGAGATTTCAACCAATTCCCAACACTAATGTACACTATTTGATTATCTGACTGATCCTGTACTGTTATTATGTAATTGACACAATTAACAAACTTTCTGTTAGATCTTTACATGTTTGTAAGATTTTTCAAGGTGTTTCATGGTGTGTATTTTTGCATGAACTCAAAAATAAATAGGCCACACTCAATAATGGACATCTGTTTCCTGATTGGCTGAAAAGATAATGGAAGGGATTTGTTTTTCAATTCTGTGGTAAACAATGTCATGGATTGTTGTTGATGATTGCAAAATCAATCAGTTAACATATTGTTGACTTTGGTTTGTGACACTTATTAATATGTCGTGTATGTAATTTATGTACCCACCAATGCAAGAAAAATATTTGAAGTCAGTTCTCAAATATGAAGGTTTCCATTCAGTGAAAAAAAATTCAATGTGACATTAAGATCTTTTTTGTACCTGTTGTAGTGGAAACAATGTCATTTGCAGGGAGGAGGCAATAAACATCACTTTGTCTTTATAGTGAGTGAATGAGTTTAGTTTTACTCCGCACTTGGCAGTATTCCAGCTATATGGCGGCGGTCTGTAATTAATCTAGTCTGGACCAGAAAATCCAGTGATCAAAAGCATGAGCATCAATATATGCTAATTGGGATACGATGACATGTGTCAACCAAGTCAGCGAGCTTGACCACCCGATCCCGTTAGTGGCCTTTTACGATAAGCATGGGTTGCTGAAGATCAATTCTAACCCAGATCTACATGGGTCATGTGTATACAGACTGACCACATGAGGTGTATGTTTTTCACAAAAGTTTGACTGACCAGACAGAGTGCTAGGTGTTTCATGGGTAAGGTTTTATTTTTCTACAGATGCCCAACACACTACAGCTTCCATTGCCAATGGTGACCATCATACAGAGTGGGAAAGGAGCTGCAGGAAAAATGAACTGTATCAAGGAGTACATGGTCATCCCCAAACCTGGTGTCCCTCTCCGAGAGGTCAGTATGTGGGAAGTTTACATGGAAAGGATACTGACTTCTCATCTTGCCAAAGCTGACATCATCAATTTGTAATCATTTGTTGCTGCTGTTGTCACAGAAATAGCTAATACAGTGTTAATGTATCCTAGTCTCTACTCAAGATACTGCAGGGCAAACCCTGATTAATTTACTCAAGTTAGTCTGGAATCTTGTTCATAGGGTGTCATTGTATATATCAGATTTTTTTTCATTGTTACACGTTTTACAAAATTAAGAATGAAAGGCATTCTATTCTTTGCTTGCCTTAACCCTAATCTGAAAAATACTATGAAAACATCAAGGATTCAACCATTATTTTTATCACTACCTTAAGTCAAGTGCCCAGTTTAATACCTGTAAAGTATAGTGTATCAGAAATATAGCACAGAGGATCCATACTACCCACAAATGGATCTTTTTGTGGTTTTGTTAGAGGTAACTGGCAACCTGAAACACTATAACTCAAGAAAGGGAAGGATAATTGACTTCACATCTCCATCAACTTGTTTCACTTTCATTGTTTTTTAAGTTTATTACCCTCTCTTTTTGTTGACAGAGCATAAACAACATCCTGGGAATCTACAACCATGTCAGTAAAGCACTGTCTGTCAAAGGAGGGGTGAGTTTCTCTAAAACCATGTCAGTAAAGCACTGTTTGTTCAGTAGGGGTGAGTTTATCTACAACCATGTCAGTAAAGCACTGTCTGTTAAAGCACGGGTGAGTTTCTCTACAGCCATGTCAGTAAAGCACTGTCTGTTAAAGGAGGGGTGAGTTTGTCTATTTCCATGTCAGTAAAGCACTGTCTGTTAAAGGAGGGGTGAATTTCTCTACAACCATGTCAGTAAAGCACTGTTTGTTCAATAGGGGTGAGTTTCTCTACAACCATGTCAGTAAAGCACTGTCTGTTAAAGCTGAGATGAGTTCCTCTACGGCCATGTCAGTAAAGCACTGTCTGTCAAAGGAAGGGTGAGTTTGTCTATATCCATGTCAGTAAAGCACTGTCTGTTAAAGGAGGGATGAGTTTCTCTACAACCATGTCAGTAAAGCACTGTTTGTTCAATAGGGGTGAGTTTCTCTACAACCAAGTCAGTAAAGCACTGTCTGTTAAAGCTGAGATGAGTTCCTCTACGGCCATGTCAGTAAAGCACTGTCTGTTAAAAGAGGGGTGAGTTTCTCTACTACCATGTCAGTAAAGCACTGTTTGTTCAGTAGGGGTGAGTTTCTCTACAACAAGTCAGTAAAGCACTGTCTGTTAAAGGAAGAGGGGTGAGTTTCTCTACAGCCATGTCAGTAAAGCACTGTCTGTTAAAGGAGGGGTGAGTTTGTCTACTTCCATGTCAGTAAAGCACTGTCTGTTAAAGGAGGGGTGAGTTTCTCTACAACCATGTCAGTAAAGCACTGTCTGTCAAAGGAAAGGGTGAGTTTCTCTACTACCATGTCAGTAAAGCACTGTTTGTTCAGTAGGGGTGAGTTTCTCTACAACAAGTCAGTAAAGCACTGTCTGTTAAAGGAAGAGGGGTGAGTTTCTCTACAGCCATGTCAGTAAAGCACTGTCTGTTAAAGGAAGAGGGGTGAGTTTCTCTACAACCATGTCAGTAAAGCACTGTCTGTCAAAGGAAAGGGTGAGTTTCTCTACTACCATGTCAGTAAAGCACTGTTTGTTCAGTAGGGGTGAGTTTCTCTACAACAAGTCAGTAAAGCACTGTCTGTTAAAGGAAGAGGGGTGAGTTTCTCTACAGCCATGTCAGTAAAGCACTGTCTGTTAAAGGAAGAGGGGTGAGTTTCTCTACAACCATGCCAGTAAAGCACTGTCTGTCAAAGGAAAGGGTGAGTTTGTCTACTTCCATGTCAGTAAAGCACTGTCTGTCAAAGGAAGGATGAGTTTCTCTACAACCATGTCAGTAAAGCACTGTCTGTCAAAGGAAGGGTGAGTTTCTCTACAACCATGTCAGTAAAGCACTGTCTGTTAAAGGAGGGGTGAGTTTGTCTATATCCATGTCAGTAAAGCACTGTCTGTTAAAGGAGGGGTGAGTTTGTCTATTTCCATGTCAGTAAAGCACTGTCTGTTAAAGGAGGGGTGAGTTTCTCTACAACCATGTCAGTAAAGCACTGTCTGTCAAAGGAAGGGTGAGTTTGTCTACTTCCATGTCAGTAAGGCACTGTCTGTCAAAGGAAGGATGAGTTTCTCTACAACCATGTCAGTAAAGCACTGTCTGTCAAAGGAAGGGGTGAGTTTGTCTACATCCATGTCAGTAAAGCACTGTCTGTTAAAGGAGGGGTGAGTTTGTTTATATCCATGTCAGTAAAGCACTGTCTGTTAAAGGAGGGGTGAGTTTGTCTATATCCATGTCAGTAAAGCACTGTCTGTTAAAGGAGGGGTGAGTTTGTCTATTTCCATGTCAGTAAAGCACTGTCTGTTAAAGGAGGGGTGAGTTTCTCTACAACCATGTCAGTAAAGCACTGTCTGTCAAAGGAAGGGTGAGTTTGTCTACTTCCATGTCAGTAAGGCACTGTGATTGAGTGCAGTGACGAGCGACCAAGCAATCGATCACACATTTTCTCATAATCAAACACAAGCGATTTTGGAACTGCTGTTTTAGTCTTTGAAACCTTGATGATGGAACATATCTTCGAGAAGTTGTTGGGGCCTGCAAACTTGTTTAATTCTTAGAAAACTCACTTCACTAACTGAAAAGTCATGACTGAATATTTCTTGAAGACTCAGGAAGTTTATGGTCTTGATATATTAGTCATCATTTTACAGTAGCAAGTTGCATCATGTTATACATATCTGCAATAACAACCTGGATAGGAAAATCTGAAAAATGGCGCTAACCAATTTTTTTCGATGATTGTTCGTTGGTAATGAAGCAATCATTAATTGTGAGATTTCAACCAATTCCCAACACTAGTTTTATTTTTCTACAGATGCCCAACACACTACAGCTTCCGTTGCCAATGGTGACCATCATACAGAGTGGGAAAGGAGCTGCAGGAAAAATGAACTGTATCAAGGAGTACATGGTCATCCCCAAGCCTGGTGTCCCTCTCCGAGGTCAGTATGTGGGAAGTTTACATGGAAAGGATACTGACCTGTCATCATGCCAAAGCTGACATCATCAATTTGTAATCATTTGTAGCTGGTGTTGTCACAGACATAGCTAATACAGTGTTAATGTATCCTAGTCTCTACTCAAGATACTGCAGGGCAAACCCTAATTAATTTACTCAAGTTAGTCTGGAATCTTGTTGATAGGGTGTCATTGTATATATCAGATTTTTTTTCATTGTTACACGTTTTACAAAATTAAGAATGAAAGGCATTCTATTCTTTGCTTGCCTTAACCCTAATCTGAAAAATGTGCCAGGGGGCTCCCAGACTCTTATACTATGAAAACAACATCAAGGATTCAACCATTATTTTTATCACTACCTTTATCAAGTGCCCAGTTTAATACCTGTAAAGTATAGTGTATCAGAAATATAGCACAGAGGATCCATACTACCCACAAATGGATCTTTTTGTGGTTTTGTTAGAGGTAACTGGCAACCTAAAGCACTATAACTCAGGAAAGGGAAGGATAATTGACTTCACATCTCCATCAACTTGTTTCACTTTCATTGTTTTTTAAGTTTATTACCCTCTCTTTTTGTTGACAGAGCATAAACAACATCCTGGGAATCTACAACCATGTCAGTAAAGCACTGTCTGTCAAAGGAGGGGTGAGTTTCTCTACAACCATGTCAGTAAAGCACTGTTTGTTCAATAGGGTGAGTTTCTCTACAACCATGTCAGTAAAGCACTGTCTGTTAAAGGAGGGGTGAGTTTGTCTATATCCATGTCAGTAAAGCACTGTCTGTTAAAGGAGGGGTGAGTTTCTCTACATCCATGTCAGTAAAGCACTGTCTGTTAAAGGAGGGGTGAGTTTGTCTATATCCATGTCAGTAAAGAACTGTTAAAGGAGGGGTGAATTTCTCTACAGCTATGTCAGTAAAGCACTGTCTGTTAAAGGAGGGGTGAGTTTGTCTATATCCATGTCAGTAAAGCACTGTCTGTTAAAGGAAGGGTGAGTTTCTCTACAGCCATGCCAGTAAAGTACTGTCTGTTAAAGGAGGGGTGAGTTTGTCTATATCCATGTCTTTTAAGAACTCTGTTAAAGGAGGGTGAGTTTCTCTACAGCTATGTCAGTAAAGCACTGTCTGTTAAAGGAGGGTGAGTTTGTCTATATCCATGTCAGTAAAAGCACTGTCTGTTAAAGGATGGGTGAGTTTTCTCTACTTCCATGTCAGTAGAGGCTGTCTGTTAAAGGCAGTGAGTTTCTCTACGCCATGTCAGTAAAGCACTGTCTGTTAAAGGAGGGGTGAGTTTCTCTACCTCCATGTCAGTAAAGCACTGTCTGTTAAAGGGAGGGTGAGTTTCTACAACCATGTCAGTAAAGCACTGTCTGTTAAAGGAGGGGTGAGTTTGTCTACATCCATGTCAGTAAAGCACTGTCTGTTAAAGGAGGGGTGAGTTTCTCTACAACCATGTCAGTAAAGCACTGTCTGTTAAAGGAGGGGTGAGTTTCTCTACATCCATGTCAGTAAAGCACTGTCTGTTAAAGGAGGGGTGAATTTCTCTACAACCATGTCAGTAAAGAACTGTCTGTTAAAGGAAGGGGGAGTTTCTTTACAACCACATCAGTAAAGCATTGTCTGTAAAGCTCTATCTGTCAAAGGAGGGTGAGTTTTTCTACATACATGACAGTAAAGCACCCAATCTGAAATGATACCAGGGTATAATGATAAGGTGAGATACAGCAATAAGTTAGTCAATGTAAGAATAAAACCAAGAATATATCACCAGAGAAAATATTAATGTGATTATCTTGTTAGTAACAGATTTTGGTTGCTTAAGAACTGTCCTCAGTACTTTTGTTGTTTTTGTGTTTCCTGAGGTATGAAAGTAAATATTTATTTAACTGTGCATATCCACATCAGGCGAACAATGAAGCACATGGCATCACTTGCAGTTTATTTATGTTAATATTCTCAGAATATTAAATGTATCCGGTATGCTTTTGTTTGCAGTTAACTGCAAGAAATGTTAATGACATCGGTGCCCTCTGCCCTGTGTTTGACAAGCCTGAGCAGGGCCTGGACCTGATCCAGGAAGCCATGACTGCCCTGTCTCTCACCCCAGGGGAGGATGTCAGCATTGCCATCAACATAGCAGCTCACGAGATGTTCGACTTTGTGAGTTGATTGTCACATCTTCATGTATTCCAACTAAAATTTGTATGGATAGAATACTTACTAACACATCATCTTAACATATGTCCATGATATTTCTTATTTGTTCGGTTTATCGTTGAGTGTTTTGACATGTTTAACATCCTCATCAGATCTGCAGAAGTTCTGTAAGTGTGGCACAGTAGGTAAGGAAACTGAGATAGAATGATTTTTAAGGCTTTCTGTCAGTTAAGTTTGTTTTAAGAGGACATGTCTGTCTTTCACACAGAGTGCTTCTGTTCTAGCCAGGCAAGCGGTGTAGTCAGGAGGTAATATGAGTCATTAGATCGTGCTGTGATGAATATACTATATACATACTCAGTGATTACACAAGGTTTTTGTGTTTGTTTCCAGACTTTAGGGGAGAATGTTTAGAAGTCATGCATGTACGTATGTACATGAATGGAAAACATGTGAAGTCTTAAGAGTGACTTGCTAATTGTTGATTGTCAATGAAAAGATATTATGAATATCAATTTGAAAGATATTTTGTCCTTATCTTACTTCCTCCTTTGAATTGTTCCTGGAGAGATATAATTAGACCAAATCATATCTTTAACCACAAATATGTGATGATATATTCAAGAGAAATATTAAAGATATTTTCATGTTATTCATATTCAAGGTTGGCTCACAGGTATGTCATAGTAGGTGACTCAATGGATGTATCTGCTTGTCATGCCCTGAATGACTTTACTGATAGCACGTCAGTATCCCTATTGTGGCAAAACGATTCTCACCACATCAGTCACTGGTTTGTCTGGTCTAGATTTGATTATTTGCTTATCACAGTCAATAGCTGAAATATTGCTGAACTCATTAAACAAAACACAAAAATTTACATAGGTCATCATGGCTTTGTTAAGGCCTGGTCGATCACAGCATTTAGTTGTTCATGGTCAAATTGTTGGTATAAACTATTATTTGTGTTGTGTACGGACACAGCCTGAAGATGAAGACAGTGTAAGTTGGGTAATGTCAGTCTGTATGCTTGTTGTCCACATTATCGGATGCATGTAACCAACTCATTGCGCACGGGGCTACAGGTATGCAAGTCTACACTAGTGTGTGGTAGAGTAGATGATATATCTAGCATATATATACATGTATTATCAAGATCCTTTTTGTACTGTTTGCGCTGAATGAACTTTCACTCAGGAATGTGTTTAGTCATCTTCATTCACACAAATGCAAATTCCAAATAGTACATTCAAGCTTTTGTAGACTGCCTGATGTTCATCTTGGAAATATCTTAATATCACTTCCAAATATGATTGATAAATTGTGTTAAGGAAGCTTGAGTAGATAAATTGTGTTTAGACTACCAAATTGAGTAGAAAAGTTACCAAATCAGGTATGAAGGTGTGAGTATCAGGGCTCCAGATAAGATGCATATCTGCATAAAATACCCATGGATAATTCAGATATACACATGAAAGGTCAAATCAATGAGTGAAAGATACACATAACTTCCTCAGAATACGAGTCAGATATTTTTTACATGCATGAACCAAACCTGTCAAAATATTGTTAGCAAGGAAAAAGTTAGTGTCTGATATTATCAACGATTAAATTGACAATGTAGCTAAAGTCTGTATTAAGAATAAGCACGATGGGAATAGTGTCAAACGATTTCTGGTTGTGTCTCTGTGAAAGCATTAAAGCAGTGTATGAAATAAGGCCGGTCCGACCGCCCGAGACGGGCTAGATTTCAGACGGACAGTCTAGGTTTACAGTTAGCCAGGCTGATGGTCTGGTAAAAAATTTAGATGTTGTATACATCTGAGTCATATCTTGGTGTCTGGTCTGGTTATATAAATCCATTTTGGACTGATAACATTTTGAAGTTAACAGCCCTGATGTCTGGTTGGGGTTTTGGCTTATTTCATACACTGAATAAAGCCATGCAACCTGTGAAACACTCCTTTTATTCCCATTTGGTATTTTGCACCTGAGTCAAAATAATTATCTGGAGCCCTTGAGTATATTCCTGTGTGCATGTGTAGGTAGAAGGACAGTACAGCATCATGTGGAGGTTAGTTGTAGTGTACCTAAAAATACAGATTCAGCATGAACTCAACATTGATACAAGCTGCATCATTATGCTGTATTTTTAGTGAAATGCTGCAAAGTAAATTTATTACAGCTATTTGAAAATACTGGGAATAGTGTTGGTGAATAAATAATTGGCTTGAATGAACATGTGACATTGAATAACACATCCGAAAGTGAAATGTAACTCACAGTCTCACAACTGATGATTGCGTATGTGGAGGGTCATCAATAAGTCATCAGTCATTATGAACCTATATTAGGCCATAATAAATTATGAGTTTCATCAGGAGATATTTTTTTCATGTATTTTGATTGTCCAGGACAAGGGCAAGTATGAGGTTGTGACCGGTCAGCAGAAGACCTCTGAGGATTATGTGGAGTTTTTGGTGGAACTACTTGGACGCTACCCTGCCATCAACGCTGTCATTGACCCACTCAGGAAACAGGTAACATTAATAGTCAACTACTGTAAATAAACCTAAAATCAAACAGAATCAACACTCAATGCAGTCTGTTTGTGATTGAGCCACTATTTGTACAGCGAATTTGAATATTTATTTCCTTGTCTAAATCTTTTATTAACAACCGGTAATATAATAGTCTGTGGCTTTTATGAATAAAGGGGTGAAAGTTTGTGTTTGTGAGAAGTGTATAGCGTATGATAGAGCATAAAGCAAATATTTGTTATAATTGATTATTTTGTAGTCGCAGTTTTCCTGTTTCTAAACATAAAATGAGCGACCAGCAGTATACACAGTTACTGTTTGTTGCTGTGAGGAGACTAAATTATGTATATAGTGCTGTTTGTGTACAACATTAACTGTCGGTGCTACTGGACCTGTAGGTATATATCTGGTAGCCATACTGTGGATGTCTGTATCTGCTAGTTTGTACTTGTCCCACTATAAATTTATCTAGATTAGTTCACAGTCTGATACTCAGCCCCATGTCTCACATTTCATTTTACAGTTATGACTTTGTGGAAATGACTTTCATCAACAGCAAGCCCAATACTAGAGAGGAATATTAGTGATTGCTTAGTTTAACATGATTGAAAGCAGTGTTATTATTTTAAACAGTATTAAAATACTTCTGAACTTAGTCATGTTGAAATCAATTCATCGGTTCTGAAGGGATACATCTTTGCATGAAAATCCAAAAACATTTCATAGTCTGCTGCATCAGGTAAACTTCCTTATCAGTCAGTAAGTTTCATCGCTGACATCTGATTGGCTCCAGATCCCATGCATCCTTCATTTAGATTGGGCAGTCAGTATCTGCTGTGGGTTCACTTAAACAGATCACCCTCGGAGGTGTCAGATCATGAGGCGAAGAGGTGTTGTATTGAGGCAAAAGATCTGGTTTTAATGAGATTGAATTGTATTGACAAGACTTAGTGACCCTTACACATCATGAAATGAGCTGTCATCATCAGAGAGCCACCGTGTTAAAAGGTGATATCCTATATAGTGTTGGCCTGTTTCTTAAGAAGGAACTTCAACATGAACAGCTGATCTCATTTCTTGCCTCTGTCCAGGATCGTGAGCAGTGGATGCGACTGTGTGACCGTATCTCCGTGGCTGGGTACATCATTGGGGACTACGGCTACCACCGCCCAGGTCTACTGAAGCACGAGGAACTGGATGAGGACTACCAGACCAGTGGAATCATCCTCAGATGGGAACAGATGAACACGTTGTCAGATGTCATTGCCGTGGCCAACAAGATGGAGGGTGAGATGACACTTGTGCAGTATAGGACACGATGGAAATATAGACAAATCCATGACAAATCAAACCGTTTTCCATTCATTTCCACAATTTGTTAAATAACAGTGTGTAGATGCAACTACAGAAGCTTTATGTATTGTATTGTATTGTTTTTCAGAAGCCCAGAATCAGATCGTTGTGACAGCTGGTCCCGGGGAAGCAAGCCAGGACATCCTTGCTGACTTGGTAGGCAAATCTTGTATACACCACATCATTGTCAATCAGTCTACAGGGCATTCAAACACACCACATGGCATTCAACCAGAGTACTTGACATTGCTCAAGACAGTTTGCCATCTTTGATCAGGTTCCTGAGATGAAGGGCAGCTCTGTTGCCATTACAAGTTTGAGTAAAGCCCCAGTTACCTTTGCTTGTCTTTGATTTTGTTGATTGTGTGGCATTGTACCCTGGCAGAGTTCATATTAAGCACTTTATCCTTCAGAATTCTTCTGTATTCCATTATCACAAATATCTGTGAAGCAGATAGGTGGCCTTGTAGATAAAACATGGGCTTATGATTCGATCCCCACATGGGTACAGTGAGTGAAGCCCACTTTTGGTGCCCCCTGCTAGAATATTGCTGGAACATGGTACAGGTGGTGTCAGACCATACTAATCAAAATATGTTATATAATCCCGGAGCTGGAAGGGAGATTAGACTTTATCATATTAGTGTGGATAACATAAAATTTGTTTCCTGGAGAGAAAGCTTTGTTGTACATTTAAAGGATGAATACGATTTGATGATTTTCTGATTACTTTCACTTCTTCAGGCTGTGGGTCTTAATGCTCGTTTCCTGAAGCTTGGAGCACCTTGTCGTGGGGAAAGGATATCGAAGTTGAACCGTCTGCTGCAGATAGAGGCAGAGCTAGAGGAGCAAGGCATGCTGGGATATCACGACGCTCATCTGTACCCTCGTATCGAGCTACCCCCTCCACCTGTCGCCACAGAGACAGAAGCTGAAGACAGTTCTCCGTCACCAGCCAAGAAGGAAACGAAAAAGAAGTGAGGCGATGGCAGCAGTGAAGGATGTTCACGTGATGTTTGACAGTATTAGGATGATGTTTGCCTGGTAACTAGCTGTTCTAGATGCTTGATCTAGACCTTCATGCTAGTGAATTATGTAAATATCAAGAGGTTCACTAACACCTAGGATGACTCATCGAGCGCAATGATTGAGAAGACTGTCAAAGTACTAGTGCCAAGTGATATGGACCACTTCTTCCAGGACATCTCTGGTCTTACAGTTGATATTCGCCAGATTCAGGGAAACCAAGGGAACATGTAATCAGTTTTGTTACAACTGATATCTTCTTACATAAAAGATGTAAATATTGATTTTCCAAAGAATTGACTTCTGTTCCTTCTTCTACTTGTCATATATTTATCCCTCTTTGTTTAACCTGAGCTGATTGTACATCTAACCATTTTTCACTTGTCTGTGTCATGAATTTTGTGTTATATGTAGTTGAAGATGCTTTCTGATTTCAATGGGGCAAGCCTGACCCTACAATGTCTAACAAACTAGACATCATTATACTAGTGTATGAAATTGCTATGGTGTGGAACACTGTGTAAAAAGGATATATACACTCGCCGTATAACCTTGATTCGTGGATATAAGGAAAGTGCGGTGAAATTCATATTTTAAATGCATGATTTCATTTTGTAATCGCACTGATTATTTTATTCATTGATTCAGCAAATTGAAAATGCCTAATATTCCACTCGTGAATCAAACGTTTGTTTACGGAAGCCATTTGCAATCATCACCCTTTCATGTGCCCACAAAATGTGACGTCACCTTGTTTCGTGGATTACGTAGTCGGTTACTTTATACCACTATGTACGACATCCCACTGCAGTAAGTTATGACACCAAGGAAAGCAGACAACGAGAAGTGAGAAGGTTGGAGCTAACGGTATCTTTTTTACTTGACATTTTGTAAAAATAAAATTTGGCAATGGTGGTATTAGTGATCTGGGGCTATTTATCTCAATGCTGGACAATTATATTTAGTGTACTTGCGTGTAATGCAGAGATTCGGAACTTTTTTTTCAGCGAGGAGTGGCATTGTATGTACATCAAAAGTACCGCTTCGTGACGTCAGTCGAGACTTAGTTTAAGAGCTAGCATGATAATTTCCGCGATCCACGAATCAAGGTTATCCACGAATTTAGGTTACGGTTCTGTATTTCTCAAGGCAAGTGTCACATCACCCAATTATAGGCTGTGACAGATTAACTATAGGTCATACGAGTGAGCAAGGGAGTTTAGTTTAACACAGCCATGAACAGTATTGCATTTACTTTACAGGTAAGTGTAGGAGGAAGGCCAAAGTGATGTTGGTCTTTGATGTTAACCATGCACACATGTATAGTGCTGACCAACCTAGAAACATCTTCAGGGCAAATATTGTCATATGAAAACTTCTGTGTTCCCTAACTTCTTTTGAGTAGAATATATGAATCAACGTTCTGTACATAACAATTTGTCTGTACAGATGTGTACATATTGAAATAAAATACTTTCATAAACGTTTAGTGTTTGAATGTGTTGACTGTCTGATATGGCATACCAACAACAAAAAATAAAGATAACAGCAGCTATCACTGCTAATAGGACTAAACCCAAGAAATATTTCTTCTACAAGCCACAAAGTTCTGTAACAGCACCTTCAGAAGCAGCAGGATATGGACACACAGATGCACACCAAATTAAGTATAAAGCATACTAATATGTTCATGTCTGTTGACAAAAGATTGCCATACTGAAAAACTGTGGAATTAAGCTTCCAAAAATAAGTGTCCAAAAACAAGTGTGCACTTTTAAAAATTATAAATCTGTACAAATGATGAAATTACAAACGCAAAACATCAAAAAACAGTTTATTACATCACAAAAAGTGCACAGAAACCACTGAGTACAGGAAGAATACTGGCAGCACAACTGTTTTTAATCAAATTCAAACCTGAAGCATACCTAGGACAGTTAAGCATATATATATTGCTCAGTAGCCCAACACCAACTAGGTGAATTGCGAGACAGTTGCAGTGCACACTGGTTAGGACTATTACCAGTAAGGCCAATTTCTATAATACTTAGATCAGAGACTTTGTCAAATGGAAGCCTAAAGGCAAAATATATATCTGAAAATGTAAATTCACTGTTATAATCCATTCACTGGATAATTGATAATGCCATCATGATCTTTCAGACACACCATCTCTGTTTTTCTTATTCATTATGTAATCTGTGTACATTTCTTTTTCATGATTCATAGGGTGATAACAATGTAAGAATTGTTACAGGTAACGGAGTCTGCAGAATCTAGTAATTCTAAGTGCATTTCTATTTTATTTGTCTGTAAAAAGGTCTGTAATCCCAGTCCTCAAAATAACTATAGTTCACATTTGTTTGATATGTAAAATATTTACAAAATATTGCATTAGAGCTAATGTATGATACTGATGAAAGTTTGCTAATGACAAGCCACAAGAAATGCCACACAGACTGAGTATTAATGGTAACAGCAAACTGTAATTTCTTTCAGACATAATAATGATATCATAAGACATTTCACTCTGACAATGACCCCTCTTAGGATGGGAAACTGAGAACAGCTCTATAGCATCATGTCCATTTGAACTCCCAATCCAAATGAAGGGTGAGAATTTTTTTACAACCATGATCTGAAAATTTCTATTGAAAACAAATTCACGCAAATAACAAAAATCTTTGACCACTTTCCAAGATGATCAATTAATAATATAAACTGTCTATATAAAAAATGGTGCAGCCTTTACATTTAGTACAGGTTGATTTTATACGTTTTTGAGATACAGAAATCAGGTATTCTGGTCTGAATGTTTTGCACCTTCATTTAAGAATGTAGAAGCCTTGTGACTGATTGGCTGATGAGAAGCTTCACCCCAGAAAAACAGAGGTGTAATAAGAGCAAGGCATCACACTGGAGTAAGAAATTGTTTTAATGACATTGCTTCAGATATATCCTGATAACTATGCTGTCATACTTGAGTACCCACATATCTAGGTAACCATTAGGGCTGGCTATCAATATCGATCTTTTTAGCCAGCCCTAGTAACTACACTGTCACACAAGGGGACCCACATATCATGGTAATGACATTGTCAAAGACCTACAAATCCTTGTTTAAGATTGAGTGATGGTGTACTACTGCTACCCATCTTAGTCCTGTTTCATGAGTAACGTTAGCACTACGACTGTCGTAAATCTGAAGACATACGATAATCATGGAGCGAATATCTCTGCGTGAAACAAGCCCTGATAATGCCAAGCTAAAGAGACAACTCACAGAGACCCCCTGTTCCATTGTTAGTACCGTAATATGTTTGTGTCCTATACGAATGCTAAGCATTAAACCATATTTACTTATGTACAAAGTACATGTACAAAACTATAAGGATTCATTAAACACGCATAAACAAAGCATATTAAAATCTGTGTGTATAGAATAAGATATTCACAAGATAGATTTTTATGTGTTTTTTTCATGTGATATCGAACATGTGAAGATCCGGGTTAGAACTGATCTTCAGTAACACATGCTTGTCATGAGAGGCGACTAATGGGATCAGGTGGTCAGACTTGATGACATGGTTAACACATGTCATCGTATCCCAATTGCGTAGATCGATACTCACTCACTCACTTTATATAGAAAAAGAGATCAAACAAACTTTCCTACCCTGTTTTGACATTAAATAGAAAATCTTGCACAGATAATGAACACGTCACATCTCAGATATGTCATTCTGTCTCTAGATATATACACGACATACTATAATAGTTAATAAATTTGGTAAATAATCCTTTGTTGACTACCACCAGAGCTGGTTGTATGTGTATCTATCACCATCTTGGACCAGACCATGCTTCAATTCCCACAAAGCACTGATTCAGGGACGACAAGCATGCTCTGTTCTATTTGTCCTTAGGTCGTCAATGAAAGGATTCAGAAGTCTCATGTGACCTTTACCCTTCATCCATGAGTGTTGTGTTCAGCAGTGGCCATCTTGTGTTTCTGTAATTGGACAAACATACATGACTATGTGTATACTATCAATAGTCACAGATATAGGTACAGGACTCACCTTCAACTAACTTTCGGTACTCAGTTCATAATGTACTGTTCATGGACTGACAATGAATCTCCTAGGATATTTTCTAAATGTATTCAAAATGTGTATCCTTACATTCCAATGCCCAGAAGGGGCTGTGGGGTAGCCTAGTGGTTAAAGCGTTCGTTCGTCATGCCGAAGACCCGGGTTCAATTCCCCACATGGGTACAATGTGTGAAGCCCATTTCTGGTGTCCCCCGCCGTGATATTGCTGGAATATTGCTAAAAAGCGGCGTAAAACCACACTCACTCACTCACTCCAATGCCTAGTTTGTAGTAGAGAATGTACTGAAAAATCAAACAGTGTTCTTTGACCTAAGGGAAATAAACACAATTTAATGTTTATTAACAAACTTCGGTGAGGTTAAATGAGGTTTTATGTCACTTTCAAGTTTATATGCATGCAAGTGTGCATGTGTGTCTTGCAACTTGGGTTAGTCAGGAATAATGCAGGTGCAAGCCCATGGAGAGAAAATCTGCTACAGTTTAACATGCATATCCCTACTCAGTGTATCAACTACAAGCCAAACAGTCTTTGTTGTACCCCTTTAATGCCCAGCACCAGGGCAACAACAAGTACCATTTTGAAATGTCTTTTCCTGGGGCTCAAACAAGTAATATCATCTTAAACATCATGAATACATGAACTTTATTTTGTTTAAGTGTAGGAGCTTTGTATTTCTTTGCCAGTCAACATCACATTCAGCAACAAGCCAGCCATATGGGGGTTGTCAAGATCAGGGCTCCAGATAATTTTTCAACATCGGGAGTACTGGAAAACCTTAAGTGTACATGTAGAGTACTGAATGGAAATTAATGGAGTATCAGTAATCTTGTGTTTCGTTTCATGTATGCACCACAACATTGATTCTTGTGTAAACAGGTCAATGAACAATAAAACAAGACTTTTTCAGATAAATACGTTTGTAAATGATTCTAAGACCATACACCATTGCTGTGGTGCGTATTTGCTACGTTTTCTAAATTATTTCCTACCGTATCGTGCATATTTTTTATCCGTACATACGCCGATACGGCCCTTATCTGGAGCCCTGCAAGATGCAGCTGACAATGACTGATATTATGAGAAACAAATAGAAACAATCCAGAAAGGTTCAGGTGAGCTAAAATACTATGACAAAACACACTTTAAGACTCACCTATTGTCTCTACCTTAAGTTTTCATTTTCTTCCTTCACAGATGGCAATGTTTTCGATTGGTGTACTGGTGCAAATACTGAAGACATAACATACACATAGTTTACTAAAAGTAATTATACATTTTAGGGGGGGATCTCCCCAATTTCCAATGATACAAACTTGCTTTAAACAGTCATTTTGCTAACTTGACAATCATTCAAACAGAAACAATTTTTCCAGTAATCTAACTGAACACTGATTTTTAGATCACTCTCAGACTGATCACAGGATAAATAATCCCTTTGTCTGAACCATAAAAAGCTGGTTTGTAATTTCTGGCATGTAATACAATAGATTTTTTTATTTGAATTGTATAAATTCTTGAGGAAATCCTCACCATCATCATTCTCTGTGTCTGGCTTCCGGACCCGTCTGAAGGCCTTCGCCAACTCTGAGTTCTCGTCCAAACTCTGCGCTGGTGCCGACAAATCCCCCTCACTGCGGGTTCGTTTCATCTTGTTCTGAGATTCAGAGAATATATGTACAGTCAAGCATTCATATGTCGACCATTGATGTCTCAAAGTGAGAGCTGAGTCCCTGCGCATGAGTTATCATTCACCATTTTTCGGTTGTGTCAAAAACCTCAGATAACTTGAAGTATCTAATCATAGTGATCAAGTTACAAATAGATCAAAACAAAGCAACAGACATTATAAGATCATAATTCAAATGTAGATTCTTTTGAAACCATAAAGGAACATCATCAATAATAACATACCAAATTAATGATGGTTAAGTTAACAAGGTTTTACTGTACTTTAATATGATTATCATGATCATATTATTCTATTTTATATTTTAATCAGGTGATTTGGAATATAAAACAAGATTCACAGACTTTAACAAACTGCAGACCCAAGTTCATGAACGTTGAAAGCAATCCTAAACAACTGGGCCTAGATTTTCGAAGCTCTCTTAGCGCTAAAATAGTCGTAACTGCCATACATTAACATTAACTTACGACGATCTTAGCGTTAAGAGAGCTTCGAAAATCTAGGCCCTGGGTGGCATTGTTCAAAGCAATCTTGGCGCTAAGGTGATTGTAACTCTCACACTTTAACATCAACTTACAACAGAATTAGCGCTAAGGTTGTTTAGTGTGATGTCTATTTTGACTTACCAACACATCATGTAGTTGGTGCATGGCGCTGTCTGGTCCTGGCACCGATTCCTAAAACAAGGAGGCTTGAAATGGTACATTTAACATTATGTCCTGTACATGTGTTTATGTCATGTAGTGTATCATCAGTGAGAGTTGGTTGGATTGTTGTTTAACATTGCACCTAGCAATATGCCACCTATATGACAACGCCTGTAAATAATCGAGTCTGTACAAGACAATCCAGTGATCAACAGAATGAACATCAATCTACGCAATTTGGATATGATGACAAGTGTCATCCAAGTGAGTGAGTCTGAACACCCGATCCCGTTAGTCGCGTCTTACCACAAGCATGGGTTACTGAAGGCTCATTCTAACCCGGACCTTCACAGGTATCAGCTGTCAAGTGTATTGAAGTGACACAATGTAGGCTTTGAAATTTAGTTAAAAAAGTTTATGATTGAGCCAATTTAATTTAATTCTAACCCAGATCTTAACTGGTGTCCGACAGTGATCAGAAGGAATCCATTACCACAGACCTACAGCCATAAGAACTGTTGACATAAGCACAGACCTTTGTAATAGCCTTGGAACATACAGGCTTCAGGACTGTCAGTGTCATGTATTACCAATCCTTTTCCGCATATGAATCCTAACGTCACATGTAACCAGGGGAGATAACTCTCATTAAAAACGGATGCCTAGAGCACATGGCCAGAACTGAGTGTTGTGTCATGTATTGGATTGAATTCCGGAAAGCAATAAGCTGTAACTGATGCAGTGATCACAGTCAGGACATACCTTTCTCACAGGTTTCAAGACCTTGTTGAGAGATCGGCCATCTTTGATTCGCTTCATCATTTCATCGAGAGCCTTGTTGTAGCCATCGTTGGTTGCTACTCCACCTCCGGCCACTGTTAACATCAGACACAGTTATACTTTGCTGTGAATGCATGGTTACACATACACTGTCACACACAGCTACAGTAGAAACACAGAAATTGTCTATTGTCAACATCTTACATAAGGTGAGGGACGGGCTACCAAACTTTGGATGTCTGTGCCTAGAAGAGCAACACAGTATGAGAGAGGACTCCACTGTCAACATCTCAAACAGTTACACATTATGAGCCACGCCCAATTTTGCCATTAACCACTGGGTTGGTTGGTTAATAATCAAGTCTAGACCAGACAATCCAGTGATCAACATCATGACCATCAATCTACGCAATTGGGATACAATGACATGTGTCAACCAAGTCAGCAAGCCTGACCATCCGATCCTGTTAGTTGACTCTTACGACAAGCTTAAGCATCGGTTACTGAAGATCAATTCTGCCCTTGATCTTTGAACCACTGGGCTTGACCACACCCATTAAAAAGGCTGACTGTTACAACAAGAAGTAGAGTGCTGGAAGTTGTTTCAATCCATATCCGCAGAGATGTCCGATACTTACATTTCTTCTTGACCTCTGCCTTTAACTTGGACTTCCGCCTGAAGAACCTGTGAAAGAATAGCAACATGCATCAGATCCACATGTCATCACAAGGATCAATTCACTTTGGTTTTGATAACACATGTCAACAATATCAGCAAGTTTGACCATACGCACAGTGGCCTCTAATAACAAACATGCTACTACAGGCCACCTCTTATTTATTTTTTTCTTCTATTTTTTCCATCAAGTTCTAAATCAAAGATCTGTAAATTGTCAAGATCCTTGTCCCTTTGAATATAAAACATGATAATGTTCCAGGCATGCATGAATGCCCTCTTGATGACGGTGAAGCCCATTTCTGGTGTCCCCCGCCATGATATTGCTGGAATAGTGCTAAAAGCAGCATAAAACTAAAACTGACTCACTTGATGATGGAAAAAGGGATATAGCTTGAGTAAATGGTTGTATGTTGAATATTGCTATAGATTTGGGATGTAAGTTGTAAGCAGAGTTGTGTATTCAGCACCAGTTTTTAATTTGGAGGCGAAATTACCATTAGGCCAGACCAATGTTATTTCCTGTTTTACAGATTTTTTTCCTCAGAAAACCTAAAGGCAGGAGGGAAAAAATAAAAATAAAAATCACTTGTCAAAATAATTTTCCTTTTAAATACTAAAAGTATTTTATTTTTGGCAATTTATGAAGTTTATATGGGGCAAAAAGCAATAAAAATTTTTTGGGTAAGTTTACATTTTGGCCAACAAAAACATGAGGATTTTATTTTTGGAGCGGGGAATATTAATTTTATTTTTTTTCTTACTCTTGCAAAAATACAACCGGCAGATCCGTAAAACAAGAAATAAAATTGGTCTGGCCTTAAATACAAATAAACTCACGTTTTCTTGATGACTGGTGGAGGGGGTGGTGGGGGTGGAGGAGGAGGGGGTGGTCGTGTGGCATCTTTGTATTTCTCCTCTAGGGTCTTATCTGCAAGATGTAAGTTCATATTCATGATATGGTCAGAACGTTATGCAACATAATCACAACATAATCATCACATAATGTACAGGGTCGTGCAAAAGTATTCGGACACTTGACGTAATTTCCATAGACTTACATGTTAATTTAGTATAGCATAAATAATTTTCATGAATTTGATTTTCGTAAGATACAAGTCAAATTATGCACATTTGTGAGGAATCATCTTACCTACAATCACATAAGTTTGATTTAATTTTCTGTTGCTTCTTTATCGAATGGCAACAATTTAATCAACATGTGTACAGTGCCGTGAACTCCTTTAACATGGCGGCCTATGGGATTGTGCATTGTGGAACCAAACGTAAGTTGATAAATGTGATGTCATTAGTTGAATAGTGGTCGGAAAATTGAACTGAATTTATGTGCACAGAGCAGAGATGTTTTCATATTTGCCTGTAAAATTTTGAAAAGATCCATCCTAAACTCACTTCATGAAAATTATTTATGCAACACTGAAATAACATGTTAGTCTATGGAAATTATGGAAATTACATCTGAATAAAAGTATCCTGAATCATGCTTATTTTGTCTCCTTCCGGGTCTGTAACATATCTTCTATTTTTTCTGCTACTGCTGTAACCCTGTACTTCCACCTGTCTCTGACAGGGGACCACAATAGTTAACTTTTGGTCCTGGCTTCTGTTAACATTTTATGTGGATTTTATGACTCCATCTCTTGATGCAAGCATCAAGTGGAGAAGCGACCCTTTCCTGTACGAAAGTATCCTTACAAGTACTGGGTCATATCACTTACGCTAGTCTGTCCTTAGACGTGCATATAGACTCCAAGCTGAACTCTTCCGAGTGTAGGCTTTAACAAGTCATGTGATAAAAGGGCGAGACTTCGTCTCAACGCCTTTGAGGGACTGTCAACTGTTGTGCAACAACCAGCGGGACGAAATGGTGAATGCCGGAGACGTCCTCGGTGGCGATGTCCCTCAGGTAATGGTTGCCTAACACCATGTCTGATTTCCAAAAGCAGCCCTCCATTATCGTCCTGATAAAGCAATTCCCATGTAGATCGAGTGTTGACGCCAGAGCTCTAATCTCGTGTGGGTTGGAGGCTCTTGGAGGATCTAGTCCAGCTGCTTTGTAGGCCCGTAGTATGACAGTTCTGATCCAGATTGATATTGTAGTGCGGGAGACCTCTGTCTGTGTCGCTGTTGATATCGGGACGAAAAGACGCTTGAATTTCCGTCTCCTGATCCTGGATTTTTGTAGGTATACTTTCAATGCTCTCACTGGGCACAAGGATAGATCCTGCGTATCCTGTGGTCCAAGGACGGATGATAATGCTGGGAAGTGGAATTGTCTGTCCGGTTGACCTGGCAGTTGATTCTTTGCGATGAAATCCCATCGTAGTCCCATATGCACAGTGTTTTGATTTTCATCAAATCGTGTTCTCTCGTAGTCCAGAGCATGTATTTCTGACATCCTGGCTGCTGTTGCTAGGGCGAGCAGGAACAGCGTCTTTTGCGTCAAGAGCTCGAAGGATGTCCCTCTAATGGTTCATAGACGCCGCTGGTGAGATCTCGTGAGAACTACGTTGAGGTCCCAAGCCGAGAGCTTTAAATCTCTGTTGTTGGTCCTCAATTTATAAGAGCGTAGTAAGGCCAGTAACTCTGGTACTTTCGCCAGTTTGGCACCCGGCCCTCATGGAGATGACTGAGCTCAATGCAGCTAGGTATGTTGAAAGTGTTGACCCATTTAACCGCTTTGTTTGTCGTGAGGTGACAAAGGTAGTCCGCCACTTGAGGATGTGTTGCCTTTATAGCTGTAAAGCCTGTCCTCGCCAGCGTATGTCTCGAAGCTTCGCCACTTGTCGTCGCACAAGTTGCGCCGTGAGACTGCGTGAGCTAGTGTGACTGCTTTCGCTGCCCTGGCGGAATATCCTCTCTCTTGTTCAAGCACGCCTTGATACAGTCCACACGCAGCCGAACACCCTGGGTTGCCGTAAGGCGCCTGCTTTGTGTGAGGATGTACTAGTAGATTAGTCCACTCTGGTAGTTGCAGTTGAGGTTGTCCTAATTCTTGTATGAGAATGGGGAACCATATTCTCGCTGGCCAGTAGGGCGCGACCAAAATCAGTTGTAGGTCCTTCCTCTGGCTGTTTTTCTGCAACACCCTCGGTATTAGAGCTGGTGGTGGAAACGCATACGCGTTTAGTCCTTCCCAGGAGATGCTTAGAGCGTCCGTTGCCCATGCTTGTGGATCTGGTATTGGTGAGACGAATGTTATCAGTTGATTGTTGAATCTTGTGGCGAAGAGGTCTATTAGTGGTGCTCCCATCTCTTGTATGATCTGCTTGAAGATCTCTGGGTGTAGCATCCATTCTGTTGGGGACGGCTGTGTTGGACGGGACAGTGCGTCTGCGATCACATTCTTGGCTCCTGGAATGTGGCATGCTCTTATGTGGATGTTCAGGTCGTCTGTTGTGCCGAACAGTTGAAAGCAGAGGTCCAGGAGGTTCGACGATCTTGTTGATCCTTGCCTGTTGATGTAGAACGCCACTGTGGAGTTGTCCGTATGTACCATCAGATGCGCATCCTGCAGAATGTTGGTCCAGTGGAGTATGGCGTTTACTACTGCTTTCATTTCTAGCATGTTGATGTGCAAAACTTCCTTCTCTTTGGTCCATGTCCCAGCTGACACGTCGTTGTCGAAATGTGCTCCCCAACCTTGTAGTGATGCGTCCACGAGACGCGTCGTGCACTCCGGCTCTGCTAAATAGGTGCCTCCGCAAACATTCGATCTCTGGGTCCACCATAGTAGATATGGGCGTAGTGCGTACGGGAGTCCGAAGGGTTCCGGGTCGTCCAGATGAGTATTGACGAAGACCTGTAGAGGGCGTAGTTGTAGTCTCCCTGTGACTGTCATCTTGAGCCATCGGTCCTCTGGTACCAGTATGCGGTTCTGTGTTGTGATGAACCGGATTCCTAGGAGCTGTAGATCCTGTGTAGGTTCTAGGTCCGACTTGAGGAGATTCACTAGCCACCCCAGTTGTGTAAGCAGTCTGATGGTGAAGTCCAGTTGAAGTCTGAGATGCTTGGGATCTTGATGTACTTGAATCCCGTCGTCTAGGTAGAATGCATTGCGTAGACCTCGATGATGTAGGTATGCGACTATGGGCTTCGTCACCCTTGTAAACAACCAGGGGGACGATGATATTCCAAATGGCAGGACCTTCCATTGGTAGTGTCGTCCGTCCAGTATAAACCTCAGGTACTTCCTTGAGTCCGGATGTACAGGAATATGCAGGTAGGTGTCCTGTAGATCTATGCTGGCCATGTAGTCCATCGGACGGATGAGGTGTAGGAGTTGTGGTAGATGTATCATGCTAAACTTTGGTGGTCTGCGTAGATAATCTTTGTTGAAGGCCCTCATGTTGTAGATGAGTCGGAACTTTTCTTTGGAGTTTTTCTTTGGCACTAGGAAAACTGGGGAGTAGAATCCTGGTGAGAGCTGGTCCTGGTCCACCACTTCTATGGCTTCCTTCTCTAGTAGAGATGTGACCGCTTCTCGTAGCCTCTCTGTCCGATGGGTCTTGAAGTTGAACTTGTGAGGTTAGGCCTGTCAACGGGCGGAGTTGCTTGTAGTTGTATGCGCGATATCCGTCTCTTAGGATGCTGGATACAAAAGGATCTTGAAGAATTCCCCAGTTCTCCCAGTAGGTTTGAAGGCGTCCACCCACTTGTGAAGGTTGTACAGGAACGGCTGGGGGTGGAAGACTCCAGTCGTCCCGAACCCCTCTTTCATCATCTCTGATCCTTGGCGCCTCTGGGTGCCCTGCCTCGTCCAGGTCGTCCTCTATAGGGCGACGAAAAGAGTCCTTCCCGCCTCTGGAGAAGCTCATTTTCTTGTCTCTTGCCTTCTGGATGCCTGGGAACTTCGACTTGCCCGAGTAGCGCTGGGACGTCTGCCTGATGACACTGGCTAGGGTATCGATGGACTTTATCATGAGGACCTCTCTGGAGTCTTTGGTAACTTCTTTGGCGACGTCGTCAATCTCCCATGCGAAGATGGATGGCGTCGACCATGGGGCTGTGTACAGCGACTTCGTGAAGCGTTCACTCCAGTTGCAGGATGCTTGTAGACCTTGCCGCCTTGCCAACGTCAACCCTGCTGAGATGGATGATAGATGGTCCGTCATAAACTGCTGGTCCTTCTTCTGCATGAGTAGAGCTGAGTAGATCATCCGGTCCTCCTCTGCGGTAGAGTCCTTGAACTTGGCGATGAGCGTCTCGTTCACTGCCCTGGATCTATTCAGACCGAAGAACATCCTTCTGGTTATAGTCTCTATCTGCGCCAGCTTTTTGACGTCAATCTTGTAAGACTTGGTCCGGGCGGCGTTGATGACCTTGTAGTTATCATTGATGTCCTGCGCCTTCATGAAGGGGTCCATATTGTGTAGAGAGAACGTCTTAGCAGTGAACTGTGGAATATTCGGCGCCTGGGATTTCGTTGCCTTCCGGAAGGCTGCGTCCAAGTTCTCTGGAACCTCCGAGATGGGATCAATTGGCGGTAGAGTGATTGTGTCGACATCATTGTCTTTCATCAGGTACGTGAGAGCTGCATTCTCTTCCTTAGAGGGTGACGCTAACTCCAGTCCGTTGGCCATCCAGTATCTGATCTCTGCGTCGGAGAAGATAATACCGCCATCGTCCTCTGTTTCGGGGCGCTGATCGGAGATCGTTGAACATCCTCCGCTGGGGATCTGTGTGGAGACCTGTGCGGAGACCTGCGTGGAGACCTTCGTGGAGACTTGCGTGGAGACCTGCGCGGAGACCTGCAGAGCTGCGTGGAGACCTGCGTGGAGGTGAGCGTCTCTTGGTTCGTGAAGGCCTCGGCGAATCCCTCGACGATCTGTGAGATGTTGATGACGTCATTGAGGCTGTCTCCGAAGACCTTCGCGAAGGCTGTTCATCTGCGTCGTCCATGGAAGGCCTCTCCAATGCGTCGTCGGCGGGGGGTCCTTTGTGCAGGTCCGGGTCCTCCCTGCGAGTGGTGTCCAAGGCTGATTGTCGATCTTTTTCCTGCGCGTAGCGCCTCTCCATCATTTCCATGATCTGTTGTGAGAACTGCTGCATGAAGGCCCCGGGGTTGAATGTCTGCGGTGATAGATGAACTGCCCTCTCTGCGTTGGTAGCGATATGGTCCAGGGATTGCTCATCTGCCGTCAGTGTAGATACCTCGGACTGCGTAGATAACTGTGCTGATGTTACCGTTGCTGAGGCCTGCTTCTTCTTGGGGTGATGTATCTCCGGGATGAGGAGCGGCGGATCATCATAGAGTTCTCTTTCCTCTATCGGAACAATCTTGGCCGAGAAAGTCCTAGTTGTCTGCGCAGACGTCCCCGTAGAGCTGCTCGTCGACTTAGGGGTGCGTGGCCATCTCTGCGTAGAGGATGGCTTCTTCTTCTTCGTCTGTGATGAAGGGATGTTCGAAGTGGCAGGCGGACAACGTCCCACTCCCATCCTCCGAGGACATCCCCGGCGGATCAATGGAGGGAAGAGGGTCATCTGACATCAGTTGACACGTGAGGGACACAGCCGGCTTATCCATGACTTGAACAAGTCGCCTGGATCTGTCTTTTGCACTTCTGGCACGCAAAAATATATTTATTAAATTCAAAATTGGTTAAATGCTGACAAAGGTTGCAGCGAGAGCTGGAAGTACATGGTGTTGTGCAGCTAGGGCACAATAAATCGTCTGTCAGCAGCAAACCTAAACCTACAACGAACAGGTTTTCATGAAATGTAAACAACTGAACAAACATGGACAAAACCGTGAATAAACAGTGAAATTTCTTAATTAATTTCAAACCATATTGTTGAAGGATACTCCCTTAACCCCTATAAAGGTAATGTATAGGGTAATAACTAATAAATGAAAGGATATAGTGCCGTATAGAAGACACAGGCGCTCTCCCAACCGTCCACTAGGGCGAAGAAGGAGAGAGTGAAGCATGTGGGAGCGGTGGCGTCACTTTTCCCGCCAAAACGGCCAGAGGGATAACTCATGGTGAGTAGTGATTTTACGTATGTTTTTATTGAAGGGAGCTTCAATAGAAGATACAAGTGTTCCACTAACGTTCGCAAGAGGAAGGAGACAAGCAATAAGCATGAGTCAGGATAAGGAAAAATATTATTACATTATGTTATGCCTTCACAACATTATAACATATTGTAACATCATCACAACATAATCATCACATAATGTAACATCATTGTTACTTTATGCAGGTTACCAATATTTGAAAAGCGGTACACTTGCATTTACAATTCTTGACATTGAGAGAAGGTAAGATAAGAGATATGAATAACAATGATATATGAATAACCAACTTGAGTACCAGCTAAGTTGAAACCTAAAGACAATTACTTCATAGACAGGGGCCTCCTGTGATATCTGTTACTGTCAAGCAGTTTTGAACTCACACTGTGCCTGCAGATCTGTGTACTGTTTTTCCATCTGAGTGTATTTCTCAGTCACGTCCTGCATACGGGAACTCAGAGAATCTCTCTCCTCCAGGAGGGTCTTGTTTTCAATCTCCAGGGAAGCCATCTCATCCTTGTTGCTGAGGCCAGCAATCTCTTCCTGTAGCTCCTTCACCTGTAGGAAGACAACACATGTACACTACTTATGACGCTACTGATGAAAGCCCTTGATATCCTTGACTTAAGGGGAGACTACATGCACGAAACAAGATGCTGATGATCTCCCTTGACATCCTTGACTTTAAGGTAGACAACATGCCCGAAACAAGATGTTGATGATCTCCCTTGACATCCTTGACTTTAAAGAAACTACATGCCACTAAAACAAGATGTTGATGATCTCCCTTGACATCCTTGACTTTAAGGTAGACTACATGCCTGAAACAAGATGTTGATGATCTCCCTCGACATCCTTGACTTTAAGGTAGACTACATGCCCGAAACAAGATGCTGATGATCTCCCTTGACATCCTTGACTTTAAGGTAGACTACATGCCCCAAACAAGATGTTGATGATCTCCCTTGACATCCTTGACTTTAAGGTAGACTACATGCCCGAAACAAGATGCTGATGATCTCCCTTGACATCCTTGACTTTAAGGTAGACTACATGCCCGAAAAACAAGATGTTGATGATCTCCCTTGACATCCTTGACTTTAAGGTAGACTACATGCCCAAAACAAGATGTTGATGATCTCCCTTGACATCCTTGACTTTAAGGTAGACTACATGCCACTAAAACAAGATGTTGATGATCTCCCTTGACATCCTTGACTTTAAGGTAGACTACATGCCCGAAACAAGATGTTGATGATCTCCCTTGACATCCTTGACTTTAAGGTAGACTACATGCCCGAAACAAGATGTTGATGATCTCCCTTGACATCCTTGACCTTAAGGTAGACTACATGCCCGAAACAAGATGATGATGATCTCCCTTGACATCCTTGACTTTGAGTTAGACTACATGCCACTAAAACAAGATGTTGATGATCTCCCTTGAGATCTTTGACCACACTTCTAACAGAAGACAGTGATGACCATCCTTGACTGACAGTGGTAGAAGACATTGATGATCTCTTTGACAACTTTGACCACAAGGAGATACCATATGCTACGAATGGAAAGCCATGCTTACCTCCCCTGACCAAAAGGGGAGACAACACACTACTACAGAAGGTCATACTTACCTCCCTTGACCAAACGAGAAGTAAACACATCACTACAGAAGGTACTGATCACCTGTCTTGTAATTCTTTACCGAAGAAAAAAGACTACAGATAGAAGACTTTGATGATCTACTATAACATAACAGCTAACAACTGAAAAAGATCAATGTGATCATGTCTCATTAGGGACTGTTCATAATTTATGGCTAGGTGGGGGTGATGATGATTTTAAGGGGGGGTCACCCATTTTGTTCTTGGGAGGCAGGGGGTCATCAATTTTGTACACATGTACTAGGGGGTCATCAATTTTGTACACATGTACTAGGTGGGTGTCAGCAATTTTGTACATAGAAATATTAAAAAATTATGCTTAAAAATTATGGGAAGGTAGGGGGGGTCATTGATTTTGTACATGACATGCAGGGCGGGGTCACTTACTTTGTACATAAATTTTACGGGGTCATTCACATTGTACATGCTTCTCCATGAAAATCATCATCAACCCCCTAGCCATAAATTATGAACGGTCCCTTAGATTCTTGACCAAAAGCTAAGGACACAGAACAAGTCACATGTTCCCTTCACAAACATTGGACTCCTTCCTCGTCTCACTACACAGACCGTAAGTACATCTGTGTTCCACCCAACACAGATCTCTATAAGTCCCCCTCACCTGTGTCTGGTGCTCTGCCTTCAGCTTCTCCAGATCTGTGGTGAGATTCTCCACCTCGTGCAGTGCCTTCATCAGCTGTGGGTCGTTAGATACCTTTGACAACAGGATGGAGCTCTCCCTCTTCATGGCAGCATTGTTGGCATAAAGCTATGAAAGAATAACATTTTCTTTTTAATTTGCAAGCAGCTTATCATTTTTTTTCTACAAACTGGTATGTTTCAGTTTGCAAAATTTCAATTTTTGCAATAATCAGTTCTAACATTTCTGAATATGGGCTGAATAAAATCATCCCTACCTGCTACTGAAAAAAGATTATGATTATCTCCCCTGAAATCCTTTGCCAGAAAGGACTACAGGCTATTGATGAACTGCCTCTGGAATCTTGACCAAAAGGAGAGATTCTACAGATAGATGGCACTGATGATCTCCTGAGATGCTTCACCGAAAGGAGAATCTACGAGATCTCCCTTGAGATCCTTGACCTGGAGGGGAGACTATCAATGCTACTGATACAGAGCTCTGATGATAACCATTGATATCCTGAAACATCACATAACTGAAAGAAGATCAATGTCATGACTTCACTTGAGATCCTTGACCTGGAGGGGAGACTACATGCTACTGATACAAAGCTCTGATGATAACCATTGATATCCTTGAAACATCACATAACTGAAAGATCAATGTCATGACTTCACTTGAGATCCTTGACCTGGAGGGGAGACTACATGCTACTGATACAAAGCTCTGATGATAACCATTGATATCCTTGAAACATCACATAACTGAAGAAGATCAATGTCATGACTTCACTTGAGATCCTTGACCTGGAGGGGAGACTACATGCTACTGATACAGAGCTCTGATGATAACCATTGATATCCTTGAAACATCACATAACTGAAAGAAGATCAATGTCATGACTTCACTTGAGATCCTTGACCTGAAGTTAAGGAGACAGATATTAGGATGTTCCACTCAGATCATATATTCACAACAACTGTAAATATTATAACTGTGAAAATTTTTGCCGATTCCACAAAGTCACACATGTCCTCCATGGTCTTTTGACACACTAAGAATCTTGATTCATGAGAAAATCATATGAGGTGAACATGTACTCACCTCTGTTGCAAAATTTTCAGCTGTGTTCTGGCACAAGATGGCTGCCTCATATTCTTTCCTCAAGGATTCATATTCCTGAAAAGCCTGCTCAGACGCTGTGGATACAAACAGAAGATAAAGATCTCTCTACTTTCTGGAACATACTGCAGTGAATTATGTGCTGTTGAGCATACAAAATGCAAAACTTGAATGCAATTCTATTATTTTCACAACTCAAGAACCCGTGAAGGTCCGGGTTAGAATATTGGCCTTCAGTAACCCATGCTTGTCGTAAAAGGCGACTAATGGGATCGGGTGGTCAGGCTCGGTTGACTTGGTTGACACATGTCATCATTCCCAATTGAGCAGATTGATGCTAATGCTGTTGATCACTGGATTGTCTGGTCCAGACTCGATTATTTACAGACCGCCACCATATAGCTGGAATATTGCTGAGTGTGGCGCCAAACTAAACTAAACTCACTCGCTCCTCTGTAAAGTACTGATTCTAGTACTTTTGTTAGGCTGAGTCCCATCTGGACACCTTATCACCAGGACACAAAGTCAGCGATCTAACCCACTCAGCCACCACAGCTTGCGGAAGTGGGAACTAAAATCGGAGTTGAATGAACCTCCAATGCTGCTTTCCTTGTGTAGACGGATAACCATCACCTTTAACTTGACAGCCTCCTCCACTGACCTTGTGTGAGTTGTTTGAAGGCATCCTTGTGTTGTTTTAGTGATTCCTTTGTCTGCTTGAGTTCCACCTTCACCCTGTCATACTGGAAGAAATATAACAGATGTGAGGTGGTGAGGTGAAATTGGGTTTTACGTCGTACTTGAGAATATTTCGCTCATATGACGACGTGCATGCGTGTGTATGTGTATGTGTGGCTGCTTGTACTAGCCCAGACTTAAGCTGGTTTTATAGTGCTAGCCCACTGAGATACCATGCCGCAGTGAAGCATGAAGACCCCACTCAGACACATTATATTGACTCCGAGCCGACCAGTCCTTGTTGTACCCATTAATGCCGAGCGCCAGACAGGGACCAGCAAGTACCATATTTTAACGTCTTTTGGTCAAAAGTTGCAACCAGTAAACTATATTCCACAACATTGTGTCCATCTGATGGTACTGTTCTACTCTAGAATTATTAACACTGTGTCAAACTGAGGCATTTTCTGTATCCCTGTGGCCCATCTTTTCTTGTGTCTCTCTTTGCACTACCTTCTCTCATATCTCCCAGTGCCCCATTTTCTCTCATGTCACTCTGTGTCCCACCTTCTCTAGTGGGGCAGTGGGGTAGCCTAGTGGTTAAAGCGTTCGCTTGTCACGCCGACAACCTGGGTTCGATTCCCCACATGGGTACAATGTGTGAAGCCCATTTCTGGTGTCACCCGCTGTGATATTGGTGGAATATTGCTAAAAGTGGCGTAAAAGTAAACTAATAACCTTCTCTCGTGTCTCCTTGTGACTCTGCTTCTCTGCATGCAGGTCTTCCCAAGTCTGCTTGTACTGAGTTGACAATTGACACCGCTCATCCTGGAGCTCTGCAACAGCCGCAACATCACCATTAATTCCACAACATCATCATTTCAGTATGAGAGCAGTTTTTCCTGAGAATATCTAAACTTTAACAAGGTATTTGTTTGTAAACAATACACAATGGCATTTAAAAAAGTAGTCAAATAGCACTGAACTCCATGCTGCACAAGCATGCTCTTAGGGCATAATGTATTATCATGGATAACTTATCCCACTTGGTACCCATTTTCTGCTTAGAGTGAGTGAGTATGGTTTTACACTGCTTTCAGCAATATTCCAGCAATATCATGGTGTGGGACACCAGAAATGGGCTTCGGACGTTGTACCCATAAGGGGAATTGAACCTGGGTCTTCGGCGTGATGAACGAATGCCTTCTTAACCACTAGGCTACCCCACCACACTTTTTCTGCTTAGATGTAAGTTAAAGATGAAGAGAGTCTATTTTCAACTGTCTCCTAAAAATATCATTTCCAGCACTTGCTATGAGATGAAAAAACAGAGGGAAATGACCAGGTCCACGAATTAGATCAAGTGTTCTGGTCACATGGGCAACTCATCAATGATGTCTCAAGCTGTGAAAATGTAATTTCAACATTGATTACATTTCTGTCCAGTAACAATACAATAAAATACAATACCCAGGATATATATTAGGTAACCGGTATAATCTGTATCCTTGCATTGACAGGCAGAAATAACAGGGAAGGATGCTAATGATTCCTATCAATAACAGGAAAAGGTATTTATTACACTAGAACCATCCAGATAAACATCATCAACACCATTAATCACACTAACACACATTTCATCACAAGCACACACACATTTCATCACAAGCACACTTGTAGCCTTGGTAACACATTTTTAATCAGACCTGGGATTCTATTTAAACACCTGGGCCTAGATTTTCGAAGCTCTCTTAGCACTAAGATCGTCGTAAGTTAATGTTAATGTATCGCACTTATGACTATCTTAGTGCTAAGAGAGCTTCGAAAATCTAGGCACTGAGCTTACCTTTTAAGTTATTATTATTATTGTTTAAGTTAACACACCCATACCTGCAAATGTACTCACCTGTAAAATAATTAACAAACCTGTAATCCATATGCCTTTAATCCCATTTTTACATCTGTAATCCAATTTACGCACCTGTAATCCTTTCATTGAGTTTGTCGAGGTGGTCCTCTGTAAGGCTGTCTTTGCTGAGGTCAAGGTCACTGACCTCCAGTTCCCCGTCCACAATATCCTTATCTGCCCTATCCAGGATTGCCTGGCTCATCCGCTTCAGATTGCGATTCTCCTTCGTCACCTGACAACACAACACTTGATATATAGAGTGGTTAAATTACAGTGGAAATAGTCAAATCCAGACTCTGTGCAATCCGGTTTTCTCCATAATCCGGACTTCTCTCTTCTTAATTTTTCATTAAAGCATGTTTATAATCAAGACTCTATGAATTACAGATGACAGACTAAAATAACTGTCCCTAAATGAACTTCCTATGAGAACAATAGTTTGAAATCCAAATATAGCTGACTAAAATAACAGTTTCGACAATCAACTTGCTATGAGAACAATGCTTTGTAATACGTACGCAGCTGACTAAAACACCAGTTCCGACAAATCAACTTGCTATGAGAACAATGCTTTGTAATCCGTCATAGCTGACTCAAACACCAGTTCCGACAAATCAACTTGCTATGAGAACAATGCTTATAACCTGCTATGAGAGAACAATGCTTTGTAATCCCAACATAGCTGACTAAAATAACAATCCCAACAATCAACTTGCTGTGAGAACAATGCTTTGTCAATCCAGAGTAGCTGACTAAAATAACAGTCCCGACAATCAACTTGCAATGATCAACTTGCTATGAGAACAATGCTTTGTAATCCGAACGAAGCTGACTAAAATAACAGTCCCAACAATCAACTTGCTATGAGAACAATGCTTTGTATCCAGGAGTACCTGACTAAAATAACAGCTGACTCAAAAAATAACTTTGTAATCAAGACCGACAATCAACTTGCTATGAGAACAATGCTTTGTAATCCGAACGTAGCTGACTTAAATAACTGTCCCGACAATCAACTTGCTATGAGAACAATACTTTGTAATCCAGTCGCAGTTTTACTAAAATAACAATCCCGACAATCAATTTGCTATGAGAACAATGCTTTATAATTCAGTCGCAGCTGACTAAAATAACAGTTCCGACAATCAACTTGCTATGAGAACAATGCTTTGTAATCCGAACGTAGCTGACTAAAATAACAGTCCGACAATCAACTTGCTATGAGAACAATGCTTTGTAATCCGAACGTAGCTGACTAAAATAACTGTCCCGACAATCAACTTGCTGTGAGAATAATGCTTTGTATCCAGGAGTACCTGACTAAAATAACTGTCCCGACAATCAAATTGCTGTGAGAACAATGCTTTGTAATCCAGACGTAGCTGACTAAAATAACTGTCCTGACAATCAACTTGCTATGAGAACAATGCTTTGTAATCCAGAAGCTGTAGCTGACTTGCTATGAAACAACTGTCTAATGTAGCGACAATCAACTTGCTATGAGAACAATACTTTGTAATCCAGAAGTACCTGACTAAAATAACAGTCCCGACAATCAAATTGCTGTGAGAACAATGCTTTGTAATCCAGACGTAGCTGACTTAAATAACTGTCCTGACAATCAACTTGCTATGAGAACAATGCTTTGTAATCCGAACGTAGCTGACTAAAATAACAGTCCCGACAATCAACTTTGCTATGAGAACAATGCCTTGTAATCCAAAGGTAGCTGACTAAAATAACTGTCCCGACAATCAACTTGCTATGAGAACAATGCTTTGTAATCCAGATCGTAGCTGACTAAAATAACAGTCCCGACAATCAACTTGCTATGAGAACAATGCTTTGTAATCCAAAGGTAGCTGACTAAAATAACTGTCCCGACAATCAACTTGCTATGAGAACAATGCTTTGTAATCCGAACGTAGCTGACTAAAATAACAGTCCCGACAATCAACTTGCTATGAGAACAATGCTTTGTAATCCAGACGTAGCTGACTAAAATAACAGTCTGTTGAATATTTACATCTGTCTTTCTGTTCACAATGGTTCATGACTGAAACATTGTATTACGTAGAAATTTACCGAGGCATAAGCAATTCATGCTAACAGACCCTTTCCAATGAACAATTTACATCATAATGTTCAACCAACACTGCATCATAATGCTCTGCTTACCTTTACATCATAATGCTCCACCTACCTCTACATCATAATGTTCCACCTACCTCTACATCATAATGCTCTGCTTACCTGTGGCATAATGCTCCACCTACCTCTACATCATAATGCTCTGCTTACCTTTATGGCATAATGCTCCACCTACCTCTACATCATAATGCACTGCTTACCTTTGTGGCATAATGCTCCACCTACCTCTACATCATAATGCTCCACCTACCTCTACATCATAATGCTCTGCTTACCTTTGTGGCATAATGCTCCACCTACCTCTACATCATAATGCTCTGCTTACCTTTGTGGCATAATGCTCCACCTACCTCTACATCATAATGCACTGCTTACCTTTGTGGCATAATGCTCCACCTACCTCTACATCATAATGCACTGCTTACCTTTGTGGCATAATGCTCCACCTACCCTACATCATAATGCTCTGCTTACCTTTGTGGCATAATGCTCCACCTACTTCTACATCATAATGCTCTGCTTACCTTTGTGGCATAATGCTCCACCTACCTCTACATCATAATGCTCTGCTTACCTTTGTGGCATAATCCTCCACCTACCTCTACATCATAATGCTCTGCTTACCTGTATTGCATAAAGCTCCACCTACCTCTACATCATAATGCTCTGCTTACCTTTGTGGCATAATGCTCCACCTACCTCTACATCATAATGCTCTGCTTACCTGTATTGCATAAAGCTCCACCTACCTCTACATCATAATGCTCTGCTTACCTGTCTGGCATAATGCTCCACCTAGCTCTACATCATAATGCTCTGCTTACCTTTGTGGCATAATGCTCCACCTAGCTCTACATCATAATGCTCTGCTTACCTTTGTGGCATAATGCTCTGCCTCAAAGCGACATTCCAGTTCAAGCTCGTACTTCTGCTTGATGACCTCATACTCCTGATAAGCTGGCTGCCATACTGTGAACAGAAATATACTTCTGAATTTCCAGGTGATGGTAGAAGAAATTCACACACAATGACATTAACTCCTGGAAAATGAGTGAGTGAGTTTAGTTTTACACTGCGCTCAGCAATATTCAAGCTATATAATAATCGAGTCTGGACCAGACAATCCAGTGATCAACAGCATGAGCATCGACCTGAGCAATTGAGAACCGATGACATGTGTCAACCAAGTCAGCGAGCCTGACCACCCGATCCCATCAGTCGCCTCTTACGACAAGCATGGGTTACTGAAGGCCAATATTCTAACCCGGACATTCATGCGTCTCCTGGAAAATGCATACAGTTATGGGAAGTACTAGTAATGAGTAAAATTAATTAATTCTTCCTTCATATTTTTTCACAAAACATGCACACATGCACTCACACAAAACAGCAAGAACAAAACAAACTAGGATTGCCTCCTGGGCAATACTGACAGTCTTCAGACTTCCCCATACACTCCCGTGGCTGCCTTTACTTGTACTGTTTCTTTGAACGACACAAAACAGCAACAACAAAACAAACAAACAAAACTGACAGGCTGTTTCATACACTACTACCCTGGCATGTACATAGTTCTTCCACAGATAACCATTCAGGATTGACAACCTCCATGTACTTACATTCCTTGACATTGTTGAGCTGTACATCCTTGTCCTGAAGCAGCTGGACCAGAGCTTGGAACTGCAACATATTAAACCAATGTGAGTAACAAAGTTACTATGCACAACATAGTAACCCAGGGTAAGCAACAGAGTAATCCAGGGTAAGCAACAGAGTAATCCAGGGTAAGCAACATAGTAATCCAGGGTAAGCAACAAAGTAAGCTAGGGTAAGCAACATAGTAATCCAGGGTAAGCAACAGAGTAACCCAGGGTAAGCAACAGAGTAAGCTAGGGTAAGCAACATAGTAATCCAGGGTAAGCAACAGAGTAAGCTAGGTTAAGCAACATAGTAACCCAGGGTAAGCAACATAGTAAGCTAGGGTAAGCAACAGAGTAATCCAGGGTAAGCAACAGAGTAAGCTAGGGTAAGCAACATAGTAATCCAGGGTAAGCAACAGAGCAACATAGTAATCCAGGGTAAGCAACATAGTAACTAGGGTAAGCAACAGAGTAACCCAGGGTAAGCAACATAGTAATCCAGGGTAAGCAACAGAGTAAGCTAGGGTAAGCAACAGAGTAACCCAGGGTAAGCAACAGAGTAATCCCAGGGTAAGCAACAGAGTAATCCAGGGTAAGCAACAGAGTAAGCTATACAACATAGTAACCCAGGGTAAGCAACAGAGTAAGCTAGGTTAAGCAACAGAGTAATCCAGGGTAAGCAACAGAGTAAGCTAGGGTAAGCAACATAGTAACCCAGGGTAAGCAACAGAGTAATCCAGGGTAAGCAACAGAGTAACCCAGGGTAAGCAACAGAGTAACCCAGGGTAAGCAACATAGTAATCCAAACCAGGGTAAGCAACAGAGTAATCCAGGGGTAAGCAACATAGTAATCCAGGGTAAGCAACAGAGTAACCCAGGGTAAGCAACATAGTAATCCAGGGTAAGCAACAGAGTAATCCAGGGTAAGCAACATAGTAATCCAGGGTAAGCAACAGAGTAACCCAGGGTAAGCAACAGAGTAACCCAGGGTAAGCAACAGAGTAACCCAGGGTAAGCAACAGGGTAAAGCAACATAGTAATCCAGGGTAAGCAACAGAGTAATCCAGGGTAAGCAACATAGTAATCCAGGGTAAGCAACAGAGTAACCCAGGGTGCAACCTAGCTGTTGCAACATAGTAATCCAGGGTAAGCAACATAGTAATCCAGGGTAAGCAACAGAGTAACCCAGGGTAAGCAACAGAGTAATCCAGGGTAAGCAACAGAGTAAGCTAGGGTAAGCAACATAGTAATCCAGGGTAAGCAACAGAGTAATCCAGGGTAAGCAACAGAGTAATCCAGGGTAAGCAACAGAGTAAGCTAGGGTAAGCAACATAGTAATCCAGGGTAAGCAACAGAGTAAGCTAGGGTAAGCAACATAGTAATCCAGGTTAAGCAACATAGTAATCCAGGGTAAGCAACATGGTAATCCAGGGTAAGCAACAGAGTAAGCTAGGTTAAGCAACAGAGTAACCCAGGGTAAGCAACAGAGTAAGCTTGGGTAAGCAACATAGTAATGCAGGGTAAGCAACATAGAAACCCAGGGTAAGGAACATAGTAGCCAAGGATAAGGAACATAGTGACCAAGGGTAAGCAAAAATATAAGCCAGGGTAGGCAACATAGTAAATAAGGGTAAGCGACATAGTAACCCATGGTAAGCAATATAGCAGCCCATGGTAAGCAGCATAAGTAACCCAGGATGAGCAACATAGTATCCCAGGGTAAGTAATGTAGTAACCCATGGTAAGCAATGTAATAACCCATGGTAAGCTACAAACTATCCAGGGTAAGCAACATAGTAACCAAGGGTAAGCAACATAGTAGACCAATGGAAGGAACTTGGAAGCCAAGGATGAGCAACATTGTCACAGTGTATTTAGCAACATAAGTAGACAGCATATGCAACGTGATTTGAGTAACAAAGTAGCATCATGTAACCAACATAGTAACATATAGTAACACAGTGTAAGCTATACAGTACTAACATAGTGTAAACAACACAGAGACCTAGTGAAAACAACATTGTTTTGATAATCAGTTGATATTTTGTTATCGATTATTGATTCCAATGATCTATATTCAGAGGCCTAGATAAGCTGCATATCCAGGTAAAATACGCATAGAAAATTTCCAATTACGCATTGAAAAATAATTGTTGCGTACCAATTATGCATTTAAAATGTTAGATACGCAAAAAGTTTAAAACTAAATGCGTAGGAAATATATTTATAAAAATCGCTTGCGTAATGAAAAAGACATCGATTGCTATCAAGTTGTACTGTTAGTATAGGACTAGTGTTGTACTGTCAGTATAGGATGAGTGATTTTTTATGAAATCATTTCCATTATATTTAAGTTGGTTTTGATTAGGTATGACATAAGGCAGGACATACCTGCTTAGTAAACTTACTCAAAGACATAATACTTAGGTGAGTAAAATGACTGAAATACGCACATATTTGAAAGCAGTGGGTAACGGAAAATATAATACCCACTCAACATTCATAATATCCACTCCAAAAAGATAGTGGGTACAGTACCCACATGAGCTAAATCTTATCTGGAGCTCTGTATATTGATAGCCAGCCCTAGATGTTAATGTTAATGTTAACTAAAACAAATTTCGGCGAAAGCGATTAGGGTCACCTTATGTCAAATGAGAACCTCTAATCTTGGATAAGTTACAATGCAAAGACTTAGTTTCATTCATGTAATTTTAGAAGTTTCTATCCCCTTTGCTGACTATGCACAATGTAAAACAACACAGATTTAGAGCCATAACTCAGTAACTCTCAGTCTAGGAATTTACCTGAATATTTACCATTGTGAAACTGCCATCACATTTAAGTCCACCACAAAAGAGCTCACTGTCACAGGATAGATAACATTGTGGTAAATGTGAGACACCTTCAAGAACTGCTCTTGTGGCAGTTGTAATGTTAATCAAAAGATTTGTCTTAGCTATGACTGCTTTGTGAATAGATCACCAGGCATTGCCAGTACTTATCCACGTTATCCAAACCAACAAGTAGCAGTTTAACATTAGATAGTCACCAATTCATGGAATATGAACAGTGGGCATTTCATTTTTTGTTTTCCCCCCAAAAAGGAGAACTGTAAAAATGAAATTAGACATTTTGTCACATAATTACTCAAAACTGAGCTGTCCACTACAAAATCACAAACAGGATGAGGCGGGGCAGGTAATCCTTTTATCTGCTTATCAACAGCTTCCTCTGTTCATGATTAAATCATTGCTAAAAGACAATTAAATTTGTAACTGATAACCACAAGCTTCGAACTGAATAACTTAACAAGGAAAATAGTGTTCATTTATGTACTGTCAACAGTCATGCATAATTTTTCATCATGTCCTGTTGATCACTGGATTGTCTGGACCAGGCTTGAATATTCAGACCACAGCCATGCAGCTGCTGGAATAGTGCTGAGTGTGGTATTTAAAACAACCAGCCAACCAACAAACAAATCATATATCCTGAACATGCATTTTTTTTTGTGTAATATTTTTTCTCCTACTTTATTTTCAAAATCTTTCAGATCTCTTCAATTATAAGCTGGATGCACAAAAATTGGTCTCGGTGTTGGTCTGAGACAGTGACATGACTATGGTCGGCCATTTTGTTTTTTAAAAAGTGGTTTGATATTGAAGTATTATACAGGAAGTACATGTTTTTTTGTTTACAGTTGGCGCAGGCAGCCCCTTTCAAGTTCTCTTACAAGGAAATTACTGCAGCTATACAAAAGGTGTGGTTGTGCAATATCAGTGTTGAATTACAATATTAGCATCTTACCATCTAGTTTTGCAGTTGTTTAAGTCTGTCTATATCACTATCTATTTCATTATATTTTACACATAAAATACCCATAACCGTCCGGATTAAAATTTATCTGCAGCAACCTGACACGCTGACTTGGTTGATGCATGTCATCCTATTGTGTAGATTTGATGCTCATGATGTCAGTCACTGGATTGGCCGATCTAGACTCGGTTATTTACAGTCCAGGATGGTTACTATTACAATAAAATACTGTAAATCGACAAAGTTTTGCAGGCAGGAAAGTTTTGCTAGTAGTGTGAATGAACTCCAGGCACAAAACTTTCCAGGCGTAATGACATCTCTCATTTTGTTAAGCAATTATTCCTGGTCCATGTAAATAACATGATCAAACAATGTCAAGAAGTCCAGATGTTCGCCTACCGGTAATTCCTTAACACAATGTACTTACTTCACAGCAATCACTAACATATTGCATCTACTCACATCTCGAAATTGAGTGTAGTTGACAGTAAATGGATACGCATACATATTTTGTTTCGCCAAAGTCAATCAATCTTTATTCATACTGAAGGCCACAGGCCCATAGCATATCAAGCATTGTCTCTAAGAAATAAACATAATAATTCATAGAATGTATGTACTCATATTGTTATTTGTTACGATATGGTATGATGTGGTGCGATATGATATGATACATGGTATGATATGACATGATGTAATATGGGGTGTTATGATATGATGTGATACGACAAAGTATGTGTAATGCGATGTTATATGATGTGATACATTTTGATGTGATATGACATGTTGTGATTTGACTATTTTTATTCTTTTCTATGATATTGTGTACTATGTTCTTGTATTCTATGGGCCTGTGGCCTTCAGTATGAATAAAGATTGAAGTCATAATTAGTGTAGCTGGACGATCACATGTCAACAAACTGCTTTTGCACTGGAAATAGCGAGATCGCGTGAAACCTCATCGGTGACAGGTTAAGTTGTTCCATGCATAAAAACTATCTGGCAATACACCAAAAAACTGTCACATAGCCTTAGTTATGATTATAAATATTTGACATTTATAGAGCATAACCTGCAGTGAAAATGACACTTTTTTCTTCACAACATTATTCCTTCTTTCGAGATTGATATACAATACGTTTGGTTAATGAGCATATTAATTCAAACCGTGTCTCTTGATCTATTGATATACCTTTGTTTCAAATCAAATAAGAACTTATTTATACAACTAACATCCAGTTTGTGCCACACATAACTAAAAGCATATTTATTTAACAATTGTTTTACATAATGGGCTCAACATTGTCTACCAACTTCTGCTAATTTATATTGATAACGGTATGTGTGGTATAATATTCCATAATCCTTTTGGTATACGGTAATAACTGTGTCCAATATTTTACAATTGTTATTTACTGTCTAGTTTTGAAAGATAAACAACCATAAAGTTTGGTGCATTTCTACCAAGAAAAGGAATTTGCTATAAGAAATTATTGTATACTCTGTCTGTATCCAGTGAGGGATAAAATATCCATATTTCTGAGCCGAAAGCTAAAGTTGGGAATACTTTGTGGTCAAAGATGTTGAGAAGAACAGATAATGTTAATTTTCTGAAATTTGATAGCTGGGAACGTAAAATATTGAACACTTTCTGGATATGACAAAGTGTTTTGTTTTTTGTGAGTTATATGCCATGACCCACTGCATGAGAAATGAACACTCAAATATTGTAAGAAGACACAATTTCTAGTTAGGTATCATTAAAATAATGTTTTTCATATTTCTTTAATCTACCACCTTTCCTGAAAACCATACATTTAGTTTGACGGTTAAAAAACCACTTTTTACAATATATTGGTAGATTATTCAATCTTTTTATGTAAACCTCGGACAGTGCTATCAAACAGTAACATATCATCGGCGAAGAGTAACATGAAAAGTCGACAGACAGCAACATCAATGCATCTATCTTCATCAACACCAAGAAATTCAGTAATGTCATAAACATACAATGAAAATATGAGTGGTGATAGTTCGCAACCCTTTTTAATTCTGCTCAAACAGTTGTGTGTAGCCATCTTGAAATGATATACATGACTGAACATTTGTGTATATATTTCTAATTAACCTAATAAAATTACCTTTGACATTGCCAGTCCAAAGTTTACACATCAAACTTGTTCTATTTATGGAATCCAATGTAGCTTTAAGATCAACGAAACAGCAGTATAGTCTGCCCTTATATAAAGACAAATATTAGAGACCATTGTATCTACCACAAATATATTGTGCTTGCATGAGTTTATCGAGTTCATACATTTTAAAAGGTTATCAAATTAAGATAACACTACTCCCACTTTAAAAGTGATATGAAGGTGATACTTCAAAATAGACCAGATGTTTGTTTTCGTTTTCGCCTGCTATGCGAGTAGCAGACATCGTGTGTGGTCTGTTATCAAGGGTCGTTACTCTGATTTTTTTTTTGTGGTAACATTTTATATGCCGAGTCGGTACGTTCTAGGTTCGAGTCGGCGGTGTTGGAATGAAAAAGAAAGTGTTGGTTTTATTTATATTTGGTCAGCAATAAAATTAGGGTTGGTCGGGCAATGAGAAACACAAAAAATAAAAATTCTGCCCTAGGCAGGAATCACACATAATATTGGCCACTTTGACCACTATTGCAGCAATATGAACATGGGGACACCAGAAATGGTCTTCACACAATGTACCCATGTGGGGAATCGAACCCAGGTCTTCTATGTGACAAGCGAACACTTTAACCACTAGGCTACCCCACCAACCCGTTCACTGAAAGATGGAATGAATCAAAGCAAGTTTAGGTGGCTGAGTATCAACTGGTGAATAAATGTAACTTTATTTTCCTCCCTCAGCTGCAATATCCTGGTCAGGGAATGAATAGTCAGTGTCTTAAGATATGAACACAAGAGAGGCAACTTTATTAAAACTTACCTTTGCTTCATTTTCTTTTTGTTTATTCAGAACTTCCTCGTACTTATCCACCACTGAAAAATAACAGAAATTACTTATGACACATGAAGACTTGGATTAAGGAAGTTCTCTGTAAAGTCTTCCAAATGAGGACATAGTATATCAAGACCTAAACTATTTGGAAGGATGGATTGGAGTGTAGGCTAAGACAGACTGACAAAAACAAAAATGGAATTAAAAATTAATGCGTTGATGCATTATATTTATAGGAGGATATGTATTGCCAACCAACCAGGAAGAAACTAATCATTTGAATATAGCTATAGTTGAGGTGTACGCTTAAATTATCATGGGGGCAGTCACTAGATGTAGCCTTGTGGTTAAAACGTTCGCTCATCTTGCTGAACACCTGGGTTTGATTCCCCACTCAGGTACAATGTGTGAAGCCTATATCTGGCGTGCCCCGCTGTGATATTGCTAGAATATTGCTAAAAGTGGCGTAAAACTAAACTCACTCACTAACTATTTTCCATATAGAGGTACAATGTGTAATCACTTGTTAGAGATTCGGCATAAAACTAAACTCACTCACTCACTAAAATGTATGGCGCTGCACCTGAACACAACACCTAAACACCATGGCATTTCAACCATGCATGAACCAGATGGGACGCGCATGCACACAATAGTCTAAGTAATGTGCACATGTAGGGTTGATTGGTTGTTTGTTGTTTATGCTAGGAGATGACAACTGCTTATGATGAATACTATGTAAAATCGTGGCTTTAGTATTTGTTTTTATAAAAAATATACTTTTTTTCACAGACATGTGGGTATCGATGCAGATGCTGTTCAGCATTTTTTGTATCCAAGTTATCTCCCTTGATTCCATACTATTTGTTTGTTAACTTGTTTAACTCTGCAGTATTCCATCTATATGGCCGTAGTCAGTAAATAATTGAGTCTGGACCAGACAATCCAGTGATCAACATCATGAGCATCGATGTAGTGAGCCTATAGGGCAATTGAGCTACGCACATGCTTAAAAATGCCTGAATTACAGAATCACAATGAACCTACAATATGGTGAATTGTGGATTTTTATTCCAAGTTAGTTAAGTTCTAAACTGAAACCTAGATAAACTGCATCATAAGAATAGAGATATGACTTAATGTGGCAAAACAGGAAGAGATTTCCTCGGCTGCATTTGTAAACATGTAAAAAAAGTAAGCTCCTACAATGTCACCTTCACCTGCTGTCAAAACAGACACCTTCTCAAGCAACTTCTTTGAGTGGCATGTTTAGAAGTTGGAGAAGTTGGAGAATCAGATAACGACAAAACTTTATGGATGTACAACTTCTTTATTCGGATGATGCAACATTTCGATACAGATTCTTGTATTGTTGTCAAGCAAGTATGTGTCAAGCAACACTTAAATGCATAGACAGACAATCATCATTGTATACGCCCAATTCTACCATGACTTCAGTAAATACTGGATTGTGATTGGTTAATTAAAGTTATTCAGAGGTATTTAATCACGTTATATATCTCTGATTTTCCAACACAGTATGTATCATAATAACGCAGTTATGGTAGAATGGAGATAAACATACATACTGTGTTAGAAAAATCAGAGGTACATAACAAAATGATAACAGCTCTAAATGTTCCGTTTTAAAGCAAAGTTAGAGCTATTATATTTTAGTTATATACATCTGCTTTTCCAACACAGTATGTTTATCTCCTAAACATTCCACTCTAACACTCAGAGCTGTGAACAACATCTATGCACATTGAATCACTTTCTAAAACGGCTTAATGCATTCAAAGGAATTACTGTCAAACCTTGCTTTTTCCAGACAATTGTGTTTTCTCACATTTTGTCCTGATAAATGACTTTCAGGAGATCGGAATCTCATTAGTGTCCTTCCTTACAATAATTATAAGAAAGAAAAACAAACTCTATTATATAAAACATATGATCATTCAAGTATTTTGTTCAGTCAAAATCAAAACTGGCTAGAACAAAAACAATTAACTGCATGTCATTCTATAGCATTTCATTGTGTTACCAGATCAAAGACCTGACACAAGGGGTCACAGGTACTGTCCATAAAAGTACATGTATGGTCATGCTTCCACAAACCTTAAAAGAGTATTGAAAGCAATTCTTCACATACCGGTGCCAATGTAAGATTACCTAAGTCGGTTGCGTGTGTTCCCTGAGGCAACATGAAGCTAAAACACCCAAACAATGAGTAGACTTATTGTACAGCCTGTCAATATAATATAACATGTACCTGACTTGGTACAGTTGATTTCATTCAGAGATTGCACACAAAGGTCTGGCCTTCCTACAGGAACTACCAGGAAGTAAAACGACAAAGCCCTGTACTTGCATATCTCAGCAGATAAAAGAGGAGCACTAGGGTATGAAGCATTTGCAGCTGTTTACATGAGAAATTGAAAAGAATATCAAGTATATATAAATAAATACATGGAAAACAAATTGTTTACCTAGTCAAGTGTGGAACAAGAAGTTGTCGTTTTTTTGGCTGTTTTCAACAAGATGACATGCCTGCCAAAGACATATCGCTTCCTGAATCATATATTTTCACAAGCATTCACTAGTACCTGTATGTGAGTGAGTGAATGAGTTTAGTTTTACGCAGCACTCAGCAATATTCCTGCTATATGGCGGCGGTCTGTAAATAATCGGATCTGGACCAGACAATCCAGGGATCAACATCGATCTACGCAATTGGGATACGATGACATGTGGCAACCCAGTCAACGATCCTGACCACCCGATTCCGTTAGTCACCTCTTACAACAACCATGGGTTACTGAAGATCAGTTCTAACCCAGACCTTCATGGGTAGTACCTGTATCTAAAGATGCGATCATAATATGCATACCACTTACACGTGCTTGTTTCAGCCACACTGTTTAACAAGATAAGTATAATTGGAAATATTAGTCCATCATATCTATTTTATGTATTTGTTTTAAATTATTTTATTTTGTAATACTTATACTCTCTTGATATCATGTAATAATCATTCTAACAATCTGTAAACTGACATCTTTTGTTTTCAAGATTCAATATAACTTTTAAGCAAATCTCCCATTCTGTTGAGTTTTTTCAGTTTTCCACAATAAATGACTGAGCTATATCAAGTAATCAGTCAGCCTAAAAACAAATTATAAAATGGTACTTGTCTGATGCTTGGCATAACAGCGTTAAAACAAGAACGGGTCAGATCAGAGTCTGCATACTGTGTGAAATTATCGCCTTTTACAACCAGTAAAATCTGTACAGCCAAAGGTGTTCATTGTGATTCTGATATAAATGCATACACGTTATCTTATTTATCTTTGTGTACAGTTCTCATGAAAAGTAGTTGAACATGTATGTATCAACAAAGGTTAGGGAAAGTCATGATACTGTATAGTTATCCAAATTAGATTGTACATATGATTGTTCATAGTACTATGAAGTCTGAACTAGTGTCGGAACACTCCTAGAACAGGTATTGGCGAAAAACGAGGAAACACTACATGATGAAAACAGTGAAGGAAAACCACGTTCTATGGATAGTCAACTTTTTTATTGCAATGAGTGCGACATTTCGATGTAGGTACTAACACCGTTATGAAGCAGTACCTAAACCGAAACAATGCACTCATTGCAATAAAGAAGTTGACTATCCATAGAACTTGGTTTTCTTTCACCTATACAACAAATGCCTCTCAAAGAAGATGAAACAATGTCTCAAAATACCATTATTGCTTGGTTTGGTTTGCATTGCTTTGCTTTGCTTTTGCTCTGCTTTTGCTTTGCTCTGCTCTGCTCTGCTTGAGGCTGAATGTCACACTGTGCAATATTCCATGTAAGCTATCTGATGGAGGTCAGTAAATAATCCAGCCTAGATTGGGTTCGAAGCCTGGACTAGTGACTGACATCATGAGCATCAATCAACCCAACATTATATCAATACACAATCAACTAAGTCACTGAGTCTGACCCTCTATTTACTCGCCTCTGACACAGTAACATATGTTATATCTTGGATTACACTTTCTCAGTAAAGTACAGATTCTTGTACTTTGTTAGGTTGAGAGACATGCAAAAAGTATGTGATCTAGGCTACCTGTTGACATTCTTACTCCATTTTTGTCGAAACCACTGGGGCTAAATGGATTAGATCACTGATGTGTACTGGTGATTAGGTGCCTGACTCCGACAGTGTGGGTTCGAATTTCGAATGGGACTCTACCCAATTATATTACTAGATTTTGTACTTTACTGAGAAAGTGTAATACCAAGTACAACATGTGTTACATTTGACCAATTTCCAAAATGCAAAGTGTATTCGCACCTCTTAGACAGGTATATGGAGACCTGAAGCAGCTCCTCCTTGGGTTTTACATATTTAATGGCTGCATTGAAAATAGAAATGTTATTAAATGGTAGCCAATCAGAAGTGCAGCTTCATGTTATCGCTAGGGACAAAACACCCATGTACTGAGCTTGAGGAACACTCAGCACACATGAGCATTTTTGATCATTTCAATAAGCAGATAAATAAGGAAGTGAATATTATGTTCAGTTTCAATGTGATTTGATCCTGTATACATGAAGTTTTGATATGAAACAAGTGAAAGTGTTTTGTATGTGTTGACAGCTTTAGAAATGTCTGACTCACAGTAACAGGAAGATTCACACAGGAAGTGATCAATTAGAACATGAAACTTTAATATAAATTGCTTTTATCAACTTCATTGACAAGTTCAAGTCATTAGTTTCAATAACTTCAGGGCGGGATGACAAGGCTATTATGGGAAGTTGAGTCAAACATTGACTCCTGATGATGCATGGTCCATATTATCAAGTTCTGACTGTATGGGGCAATTCTGCCAGAGACGACTACTACAATATACACAGATTTATTTACATGAACATCATCTATTGGTAATTAACAAATATATACAACAATGGAGAACAAACAATAGACTTCCCAAAGACAGAACATGGTCCTTAGAAAGAGCAAGTCTATCGACACTTC